AGGTCAAGGACCCGTAGTTGATATGTGATTTTGTTTTCATTCTCTTCTGCCTGACCTTAAGGGTCATTCCATAGTTACACTAGGGTGCAAGTCAACAGTGATGTGAAAAAGAAATTAAAATCACCAGGACTTGCCGCTGCAGCTGAGGACGTTGCATTAAATTGTTCTGAAAAATCTAATGTAATTCTAATCGATTCATCCAGCTAACGTGCTATACCTAATCTAATAGGAAAAGTTGTGTGATACTTACCTTTGAGCTGCTTTTGGCTGTTGGCACTGAACACAGCTGCATCAACCAATCAGTGACTCTGCCTGAACACAGGTTCCAGCAATTGATGGAATAGCACATGTCCTGATACTGAAGCTACATATGCGTATTTTCAGCTTGCATGGTAGTAATTATCTCACATCTTTGTCCATTATATTAGGTTAAAAGACAGCAATGGGGTGAGTTTGGTGGCAAAATAAGTTGTTTTTAAAACAAAAGAACAGAGGTATGTAGTAATTTGTAGCAACGCATTAGCTTTTATTAGCTGCTTAGAGGTGATCTGTGATTAGTGACCATGGATCACTGCAGTCCAATGCTCTAGTTATAAGAAAACATCAAACAGTTTAATCCATTATTTTTCATCCAATCCTCATGCAGGTACGTTGATGTCATTGAACAAGCAGTCATGGCAGGAGACCCAGTTCTGATAGAAAATTTAGAAGAAACTATTGACCCAGTGCTTGATCCCCTGCTTGGTCGACACATGCTTAAAAGAGGAAGGTAACCACTGATTCTCTGTCTAAGTCTATAAGTCTATAGCCAGTCACAGGAATTACCGGGACAGTAGGAAGTGCTGTGACAATCCAACAGCCCGGTTTGTTTTTCACTAATTGGTTTGTAAACATGCCTGCTGAGATCTGAGTGTGCAAACTAAGGGTTATGGGGGTAAGAGGGCAACACAGTCAAAGGTATGTCAATTGTTAATGGCTGAAATTATCCAAAACAGCCTGTTATTATGTCCCTCTGAGAATATTTAGCCTTGGGGTATCTGGCATGTCTGCTGGTACCCACAGATTTGAGGTCATTGCCTGATCTGGACAAAGTAAGGCAGATGAGACAAGCGTTATGGTGACAAGTGTTTGGTCATCCAATGAGTAGAATGTCACCTGACAACATTCTTGCCAACTTAATCTCATTGTGCCATTGATGCCAGAAAAAAGGTATTATCAGGAGGTTTGGCCAATTTACTTAACCTCCAGAAGAAATAGTTTGATTAATATATTGTGTTGTGACATTGCAGAGACTACTAAATTCTCAATATGCTTGAACTTAAAGCTTTCTGGTCACAATTAATTCTTGCGCTGTCATATGAAGGTTTTTGTTTTTTTTTGGTTTTTTATTTTACCAGATGAAAAAGAGGATTGTACCTGTGATTGTATAGAAGCACTGAAGATGGGCAGACAGGTTTTAAAGGACATTCACACTGTGACCTGTATGATTCCAAGCTCTCTAACAGTGCTCAATGAATGACGAATATTGGATCTCTATTTGCATACAATGGCATATATACTATTATGCTAATAGACTGTCTACCTTCCTGCATTCTCATATGGTCTACCTACCTTCATTTACCTATGTGCCTGCATATGGAGACTGTTGTAGACAGTCTCTATATGCAGACTAGGATAGACTAGGTTATTATAAAATCTTTGCTGTTTGCTTGCAAGGCTTTCGTCACTGATTGCTCTACATTTCTACAAGGATTCATATATCCTCATTGCTTTCCCTGCATATTAAGACAGGACTCCTACATGGTCAGAGACTTCCATTTTTTTGTTTAAAGCTCTGATCAACCAACCATATTTTCCAAGTTTATTACCTTCACAGTTCCAGGTTCATGATTGCTTTTCACCATTGCTACTTCAATTTGTATGACTGTAAAATGGTATATCTACACAAGAAGTGCAGAACCTCACTAATAAAACCATCTTTAGTTGCCTGGATCAAATTGCTGGGAGAGTTTATAGCTCTTCTGCTTCTATGCAACCTCTGGTGGCAGTATACTTCTTTGTGATTTTTTTTTTATATAACCATCCCTATGATAATTTATGAGAAAGTTGTTTTTGGGACATCTGCTTATTAGCAAAGTACATCTTATTGGCAATCTAAAAGTACAGATGTTGTTACCAACGTTTATGGGGTGTTTATGATGAGTGTGGTCTTTCTACACTTTAATGTAATTGATCTTCTTTAGGGGCTGGTTTTCATATTTTTGTGAGATTATTAATAAAACATTTGCACCTTTTTGTAAAATCAAATGCAGGTGATACTTTCTTTCCCACGCAGCTCATATAATACTTATACTTTTGAAGTTATGGTATCACCAGTGACCTAAAATAATGATTAAGATTTTGCTTTTGGATCTACAGGTTTTTGAAGGCAAGGGTCTTACTTCCCAGCTGTTATTTTTTTTAACTACTCTTGTTTATTGAAAAATTGAAAAATCCCTAATAATATTGACAACCAGTATTAATAAACGGCCTTCCTAAGTAAAGCATAATCTGAAATAATGTTTTCCCAAAATAAATGTCTTTATTTTTCCCTGTAATCTGAATTTAGGGCCTCATCTCCAAGTCCTCAAGACCAAATCTTAAAGTGGACTTTCTGTATACTCAAATGCTAACATGAAGCTGTTTTAACAGTCTTGCTGGGATGAATAAATTATAAGTAATAGAGGGATAAGGTGCTGTCCTTGTAATCACAGGCCTAGTTGTTTACCTGACATTGGTAAAGTGGAGGGTCAGAGGCTAATCCTTCCAACTAGTACAGACCATTCCTCCTAGCAAGACTATTGTCATAAAGGTCCAATTGAACCTATGCCCAACCACCACCACCTATCTGCCACTGAAGTCTCCCACAAAATCTTATGCAAATGTTGCCTTTCTAAATAGTGAACCAGTGTTCAGGCCGTTCAGGCACTGTGGACTGCAATATGTGAGGAAGGAGGGGGTGAGAACCTAAATACAATGATCATTTTCCCTTTCCTGTGTTCTGACAGTAGCTCTGGTATTAGGAGCGAAGTGAGGTGTAGGTACTTTACAGTGCTTGCTATGTTAGTTAGACATGATAAAGCAGAGTACAGGTTTACATTTAAAGCATAATTCCATAATTTCTTTTTGGATATAGAGAAGGCAGATTAAATCGTTTGCTTGGTTTTTATCTCTGTGTCTCTTTTGGAAGGATTTCCTTTCACTTCCTGCCAACACAGGAAGTGATTGAAAATCTCTCCAATGAAAACACAGAGAAAAACACATTTTCATTGGACTGAGGAAAGGTCAGAACTACTGACAATGTTTTTATCATCATCTGGGCCTTTCTATCCTATTGACACAACACATTTTTTGTTTGGGCAATGCAAGGACAGACAGTGAAGGTATGTCTCCCAACATATCTATGTCAACAATTACCACTCTGTGTAAGCAAAATTGTAACAGTTTCCATTAGTGACAGTAGATATTTAGAGTGATATTAAACTCAAAATGTTTTTAAGCTATTTCAAATTCTGATAACACCTCCTACAATGCATGCTGTTCCTTAATGTTTAAAAGTTTTAGTTTCCTTCAGAATCAGCTGGTGCCCTGAGCACTGACCCTGATATCCTGTTTCAGGGTGGCTCCTTTTACTTGAAGGGTCCTGTGGAGCCACTCTTGTGTGTGCGAGTAAGTTATGTGTATCTGCACAGACACACAGGCAGAGCAGGGCAAACCACTCCCCTCCCCTTGATCCTCTTCTCCCCACTCCTCCTTCCTCATCCCTTCTCCACGATAGTAAATGTACAAACATGATTACTTTAAGTGCTTGGGGAAAAAAATAGTTGCTGGGCCATGTATATTTGTTTGATCTGGATTCATTTTTGGAAAAATATGGAGAGTTTGATACCACTTCAAGGATCCTGCAAAGGTCAGAAGAATGTGAAGAACAAGACCAGCTGATGATTTCATAGTCCTATCCTAAAATACAAAATGTATCAGAAAGGAGCTTATGGGGATAAAATATAAACCTAGAAATTCTGAATTCGCTATCCTTTCCCTCTTCTATCATAAGGAGACCTTTTCTGTTGCCTGTGGCCCTAGAGGGAGGATTCCCCCTGTCTTGATGGCAAGTGTGTGTGGGACGCAAAATGAGGCAAAACAACTGATAGAGCTTCTAAATCTTCCCATAAACAAAGCTAAAAAAAAGGAAAAGTTTTAAGCCTTAAAAAAGCTGCAGTGTGTCTTATGAGTAATAAGTGTCTTGTCAATCTCCTCACCTTTACCATCGGTATTAGCAAGTGTCTTCATTTCCGTAAATGTATCTTTTTATCTTAATTACAGCGTCTGAGATTTCATCAAATCATAATATATACATGGTGTTTTTACTGCAAATAGCTAGCATTTCATCTCTGATTAGGGTCACTTCATTATTCCCAATGTCTAATTAAGCTGATCAATTACAGTAATTTATTTTGAAAGCATAGTAGAGCTAGCCCAGCTAGTCATCGTTCCAATTACCTGCTAATACAGGATGTGTGTATGTGACTGGAGCTGTATTAGCCTCATGTGTTTTTTAAGCCTTGCAAAATGTTTGGCTTCCTTACACAAATGTCCTGACAGCCACCCCCAGTTCATAACTGTAGCAGAGCCCTTAGCATGCTGAGTATTGATCGAGTGGAACGCGCTTGCACAGTTCAACACAACTTTGAAAGGTATGTTTAATTTCTCACTCTCTTGGGGGTATTTGATTCAAGGAGTGATTTTGTAGCGTGTTGTGACTCAGAAAATGACTACTACTTAGAGCAACATTGGTTGCGACTTTGAATTTCAATGACTGTTGACTTCAAAACAAATACTTTGGCAGACAGAGGTGACAAGAAAACTTGAAGAATCAACAAAGGACACAAATTCCATATCAGAATGTCAGACAGTAGGTTTAAAGGGGATTTGTCTCCAGGAAAAGGGAAAGAGATCATCGGTTACATAAAATATTGTTGCTGCCAAGTTTGTCAGTTTTCAGGTTCATTTTAATGGTAAATTCTGTGGATCGGTACCATTTTGAATAGTTGTTGTCAGTGTCCAGGGCTGCCAACTCATGTAGTTTTTTAGATAGGGCTAGAAATGTACATAGAGGCATTCAAAAACTCTTTTTTTGTAGCCCAGTTTACACATAAAGCTAAATGGTAGTGTTGCAGGACATTTTAAAACCATGTCGATATTTCCTTGACTTAACAGATGATCACACACCAATCTCAGCAGGAATGTAATAGACTAAAGTATTTTCTGCATTGCTTCAAAATATTCTACAACACTATAATCTAGCTTTATAAGGAACTAGAACTATTTTATTAAAGTGACCAAACAGACATTTGCTGCTGGCAACCCAAAAACAAAAAAGGAGGCCACTAGCCAACTGGTTGGCAGTGCTGATGTTCTAAAATAGCTCCTTGTCTCCTTGGGTACACATTAACCATTATTTTAAAGAAAGAAGTTTACTTTTTTTCTAGTTCCTTTTGGCCTTCTACCTGTGACCTGACTGGTTTCTTGGCCTTGTTACTGCCAAAACCCTACTCCTTAGAAGCCATGGTTTTCCATACCGTGCACTATTCATGGCCAACAAGTCTGACACACTGATGTTCTGGATGTACAGTTGGTTGTTGGGGCATAAAGATATGACTACCATGGCTTCACTAACAGATTAGAAATGAGGACCATCCCTCTTGTCTTTTTTGTTATATATTAATATAATTATATTATAAAAATATAATAATAAACAAATATAGTTTGTTACATAGGGTATGGCAAATTATGCTCTATCAGGCAATGTTGTACTTTAAGTATTCCAAAGGAAGACTTTTTTTTCCTTTAGCCCTCCTCTTCCTTTGTCATAACCAGTCCAGTTGTTCTGTTATGGTGACAATTAAAAAAAAACAAAAAACTACCAATATAATTGTCACAAGTATACATGTAAAAGTGATCAAATTTGTACAGAAGTTGAGATACTTGGTATCTTTTTTACATGTGTTATGACATTGATTACACCCTGTTGTTGTGTGCTACCAAATATTTTAGAGTTGGTTTTGCTTGACAGATACATCCGAATTGGGGATAAGGAGTGCAAGTTTCATCCCAAATTTCAACTAATTCTTCACACCAAACTTGCCAATCCACACTACAAGCCTGAAATCCAGGCGCAGACCACACTAATCAATTTCACCGTCACACGGGATGGATTGGAAGATCAACTGCTGGCTGATGTGGTTAATTTGGAGAGACCTGACCTAGAGCATTTCAAGGTATAGTTATTTCAAATTACACCATCATTTAAAAATAAGTATTTACTGTATATTTTATACACCTACTTTTTTTCACATTTTCACTATATTAGTATACTTGAAATGTTTACAAAATAGAAATATTTTTGCTATTACAAAAACTAAACTGTAAAGATAAAGTTTCAGTATAGAATAGTACAATATAGTATTACCCTGAGAATTACCCAGAGCTTCCCTCTCCCTCTTTACGTCTCTGAATTTAGCTGAGTTCCCACACTCAGCGCACACTTTGGTCTAACCCCTGCATCTAGGGTAGCCACCTTTTTTCAAGCAAAACCCAAACATTCTAGCACCACATGGCAATTTATTTCGGGAGAGTGAGGAGAGACAGCCAGGAAAAAGAGCGAGGAGACAGCCAGGGGAGAGAATGAGGAGAGACAGCCAGGAGAGGGAGCAAGGAGAAACAGCCAGGAGAGAGAGAGCAAGGAGAGACAGCCAGGAGAGAGAGCAAGTAGAGACACCCAGGAGAGAGAGAGAGAGAAAGAGAGAGAAAGAGAGAGAAGAGAGACAGCCAGGAGAGACAGCCAGGAGAGAGAGAACAAGGAGAGACAGCCACAACAGAGAGCCAGGAGAGACAACCAGGAGAGAGAGTGGGGAGAGAAAGCCAGGAGAGAGAGAGGCAAGACCGCCAGGAGAGAGATAGAAAGAGAGGAAGGAGAGACAGCCAGGAGAGAGACAGTCAGGAGGGAGAACAGCCAGGTGAGAGAGCGAGGAGAGACAGCCAGGAGAGAGAAAGATGAGTGACAGCCAGGAGAGAGACAGAGCAAGTGAGCAGACATAGCAAGGAGTGACATCTTGGGGTTGATTTACTAACCTTATAAACACACCACGAACAAGTATACACCTCTGTAGTGTGTTCCCTCCCAGCATGATCTATGGGTGGAATCTAAACACCTTTGTAGTGTGTACACACCCAGCAGGTGTGTTGTGCAAAGCCCTGCCCTGAATTGCAAGGTGATGTTGTGTAAATTAGCTCCACCTTGTGTTGCTTGCATTGATGAATGCAGGAATGTAAATGCATGAGCTAACCATTTTTGTCTAAACTGTGAAGCAGCATTATATATGCATCATGTGCATGATTTTTCCATATATGGCATTAGTGGAAACATGCTTATAGAGACTTTTTGGTTGATAAATATGCTTTGCTGTGTAAAAATCACACACACCTGGTGCGTGCATGTGTTTAGGTTAGTAAATCACCCTCCTTGTGTCCGTGATTCAGTTCAGGGTAATACACTGCAGAATTTGGTAAATGTGACAAAGCACAAAGTATCTGAAAAAGTCACATATTGCTGAGATCCATGTTTTTTTGGCATGAGGGACATTGGGGGCGATATGAAATAAACAACACTCACACTGGTTCATCCCCTCCCCCACTCCCCACAATCCTGTGTATAAATTTAGCATTGAACACGCCGTAGATTGTAGTGTATGCGTAAGATGATGAGATAGAGATTGGAAATGTACGGTACGTGTTGGAAATACAACAGCATATACTGATGTAATTTGTTTGAGCTGTATATGGCTCTGTAGTACAATGTTAGTCTATATGTGCATGCTTATCTATGATACACAGGAAGTTTTTTTTCTTTCTGTTTTCTTCACAATGCTGTATTCATATGTGTAATGCTCTTCTAAGCAAATAAAACTTAATTCAGCAATCGTCAAGATCTAAACCCATAACCAACAGAACAAACCATCAGAGCTTAGTCACAGTGGAGGTCTATGCCCGTACTGTGCATGAAGCGTGGCTGCATATGACTTCTTGGTTGGCCCTGTCTGCTGTAGACACAGACACAGTACATACAGGACTCAAAACCCAGACTGTCCAGGTGAATCCCGGACAGGTGGCGACGCTACCTGTATCCTGCCCCAATGCACAGTCTTCATAATAATGTGCATTAACCCATCATTGACCGGTTTCCAGTGTATGAGCATTAACCACCTCAGTAACCATTCTCATGATTGTGTACATTAAACTCTATGCCAAGTCTTCAGATAATCTGCATTAACCCCTCAGGGACCAGACTCCAACATGTGTTCATTAACCCTTAAGTGACAAGCCTCTAGAACAGGGGTCTCAAAGTACCAGCCCGCGGGCCAACTCCGGCCCGCAAACCAGTACTATGTGTCCTGCAGCCAGCTGACAAGTCAGGCATATGGTCACGGACCATGCAACTGACTTGCGGGAGCAGCTATATGGTCTGAATCTCTGTTGGATGCAGATAGCAGAGCTGCTTCTGTCAGCTCTGGTACTCACAAGCCCCGTTTGGTCAGAGCTCTGACAGTTCTGAGCTCCAGCCGAAAGGTTGTATTAGTAAGGTCTGCACCAGACCTTACTAATCACCACTGGATCACCTGGGAATGATGTGCCTCCCCGCCTCCTCCATGCAAAGATGTAAGCAGATGAGGGGGCTCGCAGAGGGGAGTGTATTATTATGTGTGTGGGGGGGCTTGGTTACATGCAGTTACAAAAACAATCGCTCTCCCTGGATACACGATCATGTATTCAGGGATAGTGACTGATTCCTAACTACATGTAATCATATCACATACCATTGCATGCGGTGTGCAGGTGTTTACATGCAGCGGCTGTCATCTGATCATTAACTTGAATGGGTGACAGTTTCCGCTTGTAAACGCTTGTAACACGCACAGGCATTAACACTGGTATCGAATATAGTAGCGGCCCCCCATGGGACAAAAGAATGTGTTCAGTGGCCCCAAGTAAATTGAGCTTGAGAGCCCTGCTCTAGAGCATGTCGATTTAAAGTGATATTAAAGTCAAAAGGATTTTAAGCTATTTCAAATGCTGATTAAATCACTTAAATGTTTTAGTTTCCTGCGGAATCAGCTGGTCACCTAAACACTGGTCCTGACTTCCTGTTTTAGAATGACTCATTTCTCAAGCAGTCACAATTGTGTGTTCCAGTGAGCTGTATGTCTCCACAAACACAGCAAATCAAGCTACCCCCTCCACCCGTCCCCCTCTCCTCCAAACTAGTAGATGGACAGCTGCTGGAGCCTGCACTGTCCTTTGTGATCTTGTACTGGACAGGAAGTTCAGGGAAGCTGAGCTAAGAGACTTGGAAGCAGCTGTTTAGAAACATGTTGATTGTAAGTGTTTGGGCAAAAATGTAAAGCATTGCTTTGCTGGGCAATGTACACTCAGTGGCCAGATTATTATGACCACCTGACATTTGTAGGCAAATTAGCTATAATTAGCTATAATTTTGCGCTAAAGTTGCTAGAGGACCAGACCATTATAAATAGGGAAGCAGGTTGTTTACCACGACAGTAGAAGTGATTTTTTTCTGAAGATATGGGTAAACAACACAATTAACAGCCTTTGAACGTGGGATGATTGTTGGCGCTCGGAGCCATGGAGCGAGTATCAGCAAAACAGCAGAATTCGTTAAATGTTCAAGAGCAGCTGTTGTTAAAGTGTTTAAAGACTGGACTGTCAGCCAAAAATCTGGGTATGAACGTGCGAATTGTGGCCGTCAGCGACTAGTCAATGTTAGGGCAGAACGGGGGGTGGCAAGACTGGTACAAGACAACAGAAGGGCAACAGTGCAGTGTCAGATTCCTCTCATCACCTTTCAACATCTCGTGGAGTCACGAGGCGGCTCAACGAAGTCAGCTCGTCGAGTCATCTCGTGGCCCAACGAAGTACTGATGGGGTGGTCATAATAATCTGGCCACTCAGTGTATATTTGTTTGATCTGGATTCATTATTGAAAAAAGGTTTGAGAGTTTAATACTTCTTTAACCCTTAATTACCATCCTGCAGCGTATAGGCATTAACCCTTTAGTGATCAGAACCTTTAGTATGTACACTAACCCCTCAGTGACCAGCTTGTGTGAACCTAACCAGTAGAAGGGCTACTATGTCTGGATGGCGTCTACGCTGCACGCTGACACTTCTTCACTGGAAGGAATTAGGAACCTCAGCATATTTTTCTATATTTGGGGGGGCCTTTCACATACACAGGTATAACATCTTCAGGCACAATCATACCATGGACTTGATGATTGTGATGGGGGATGTGGGAGACACAGAACACACACAGAGACCAAGAGTGGTTTTTAGGACCCTTGACCAGAGGGTCCTTTATTAGGGCTTCTCAACTTTAGGATACGGCAAGTGTAGGAGCAATCTGGGCAAAACAAACGGCTAAAACAGCAAGGGATAGCAAGTGTTAAGTCCAGGGGCACAGGGCAGCAATCCAGGCGGAGTCCAGGGACACAGGGCAGCAATCCAGGAACAGCAAAGGGGTAACAGCCGCAGTGCACAGCACAACTGGAGTCCAGGGAGACAGGCAGCGGTCAAGGCACAGCAAAGGGGTAGCAGCCGCAGGGCACAGCAAAAGAGGGTCACGACTCACACTTAAGGCATCCGGTCACTCCGCAGAAGAGGGATCCACATGGGATGGTAAGGCAGGAGGCTTTCTGTAGAGCTGGTCTGTGGAGCCTCTTCAGTGTTCGAGCAGGACAACAGTTCACAGCTAGTAAGGCACTACAAGTCCCAGTAGTCCCTAATCAGGGAACACACATTCAGAGCTAGATATCCCAGCAGTCCTCATCTTCTTCTAGTCTCTTTCCAATGAGACCCTCCAGCCATGAGTATCTCATGTCTAACTCTGAAGTAAAAAGAAACTCTGGCTACTCTGAGCACAAGGCTGTTAATTGTACCTGGAGTCTTAGCATTCTTCTACCGGAGACCAAATGGTGACAAAAGTCTAACTTTGTCCTGGTTTAGGATACAACATATCCTGTGCTTCCTGTTGAGAGGAGCCTCATCTCCAGACCCCCCTGTGTGAAGGACTGCATGGGTAAATTATGTAGATCAGCTGACTGATTAACATGAGGCCTTTTGAACATTGGTTCTTAGAGGTTGTTCATTTCCAAACACATCTAATATTTCAAAGCTAATATTTCTGATCTACGTTATGCTATGATTTTGTATCTGTTGACATTATTACTATGCTATGAGCTTTGAGAGTAAAAGTGCACTGCATGTCTGTATGCACACAGCTATATGGAGTGTGTTTAAAAAACACATGCATTTTAAAATATTTGAATAATTATTGAGACAAGCATAACGCTGTTATGGTAAAATTATCATATATTTATCTTAAGATATTTTACATCTCAAATGCCTGCATGGAAGAAAAAAAAAACCTCACTTGATTACATGGAAAAATGCAAAATAACCAAAAAAAGCATTTTCAGATTTTTTTTTCTTCATGTAAATGGAACAAATTAACAATAAATTGGTCACTAAAAAGTACCTGATAAGGGCCTAAATTATACTCCCTTTTCTCTCTGGATATTAGCCATGACCTTAAGCGCTTTAGAACTATTGTAAAATGCTGAATAATAAGGAAGATTAAAAGGTAGCAAAGTGTATTCCCATTGTTAGCTCGGTTTGAATTACAGGTCTAAAACTTGCCATTTTCTTTTCAGTCTGAGCTCACAAAGCAACAGAATTATTTCAAAATTGAGTTGAAAATGCTTGAGGATGAATTACTGACACGCCTATCGGCAGCAGAAAGTAATTTCCTGGGGGACACTCTCCTGGTGGAAAAACTGGAAACAACCAAACACACAGCAGCCGAAATAGAAATGAAGGTAAGTACAGCATTGTGATGAACTGCTGTCTGTTTGGAAATATACAGCAGGATGTTGGAGATCAAAAACAATCTATCAAGATAGAATGAGAATATTTTGTCAATTGGCTTTTCTCCAAGATCCTGGGATTTCCTGTCTTCGCAATAACAGTCTGATTATATCATAGGTGTACAATATCTTTAATACATGGAAACTGCACAGTGTTGTGTTGTCTTGTATACTGGAAGAGAACATTGGTGTTGTTTCTTTTGTTATTTTCACATGTAAGGTGATTTGAAGTGCACCCCGCAACAAGTAAACTCAATTGATAAACCGCTAAGGCAATGCAAGAGGCATTACAGCTGTGTATGGAAAAAGTGACAGGAAACACTCCCCACCAACACCCAGTGATACTCACCCTCCCCATGCTTCTCCACCAATCCATTTCTCCTTCAGTGCTGAGAGCTCTAACTACATGCTGGATAGTGTTGGCGCTTACACAGAGTTTATTTAGATACATACCCTGTTTCCCCGAAAATAAGACCTACCCCGAAATTAAGACCTAGTACAATTTTTGGGAATTGCTAAAATATAAGACCTACCCTGAAAATAAGACCTTGTTGTGACCATTCTCAGGGCCGGTGATGGCATAAAGGGGAACTTGAAGAGCCGCGGGAGAGAATTTGCGGTGCCAACTAAGCCAGCGGTAGAGGAAGCGAGGCGGCAGCGCAAGGAGCAAAGCCACATAAGCCGATGTTTCCTCTATAGTGCCGGCTCCTGTCACAGGCGGAGTGATACCAAATGCACTCCGCCTGTGAGGAATCATAGTGAAAGCGCGCTTCGCTCATTCTGGTTACCAAATTGCTCTTGGAAAGGTATGACACCCCTGATCACCCTATTCTTAACTTTGCCATTTTGGATTATTTCATTTGGATTTGCATTAACTTTAGATTGTTGTACATTAAAAAAAAATAAGACCTACCCTGAAAATAAGACCTAGTGTGTGTTTTTTGAGCCAATAAAAAAAAATAAGACCTACCCCGAAAATAAGACATTGTCTTATTTTCGGGGAAACACGGTAGAAGAGTGATGGCAAAAAAAGATCAAATGGTCATTCCTATCAAGTATAGGAATTTCCTATATACCTCGGTGCTTCAAGTGGCATACAAATGACATGCACCCAGCTATACACTGGGCAGAAGTTTTATAAATAAACCTACTAGTGTACTGTGTTAGATAGCTTTACAGGTCCAGGGCCATGATAAACCCACTTGTGGCATCCTGTCCCTGAAGACTCTCCTGGGAGTATTCCTACCGGAGGGGGTGTAGACTGTAGGAACTGAGCAGTTGGCCTGTATTGGCAATTGCCAATGTTTGCCAGCAGGCGCTCTTTCAAACCACCAGGCAGTACATTTTAGAGGCTTTGGCCCTTTTTGAGAAGCTGGCTTGTAATAATATTCTTGCTGGTCCTGCTTTGGGGTTAATGTTTGAGATTGAGCTTTACAAGAAAAGGAAGACATTGCAGTTACAATACAAAACAAGACAAGATAGCAAGGAGGGCCCTGCCTATGAGAGCTTGCAGTCTAAAAGACAAGCAACACATATATTAGTTAGGAAAATAAATAAGAGGTGCCTTAATACGCCATTGTGGCAGTGTGCCTTCTATTTGCAAATCTATGCATCAAAATCCTCTGTATTTAACCTCAGCAGTTGAAACAGATTAGTTAAAAGAGAATTATGGGGGAACTTTTTTTCCACATCGTTCTCTTCAGGGTCACGGGAGGACATATACTAACCTCCTTAGTAATCCAAAACTCAGTATATAGCGGGCTATTGCCGCTATATACTGAGAGCACTGCAGACGGGATGTCGAGATCCACCTCGCTGGCTGGTTGACAGCTGGCTCTACCTATCTAGAGACAGAGCCAACTATGCCCTTCCCTGTCCGTTCTTCCAGTGAGCACTGGAGGCTCGGAGGGGGCGGGGGGTGAAAGGACCTCTTTACTAGACGGCTGGGGGATTCTCCTTCGAAGCGCTTCGGGAACATAGAATGAAATACACTGAGGCAGATTCACACATGCTCAGTTTTATTATAACAGTTTCTCAGTCTTTATACTGTATAGAATGCTGAATCAACATTTAAACTGTGTACCGTATAAGCACATACTGAAGAGAGGTAGTGTTTTTGAGAAATAGATAAAAATACAAATTTTGGAGTCATATAGCATTAGTCATAGATAATTCTTATCACTAACGGCCAGCTCCACTATACCATAAGAAAAGTGCAGAGTACAATACAGATAAACAAAAGCAGACATAGACTGAAAATCTACTGAATACTCATTTTAAGACTTTCTTGACTTTTAACATATATTTCTAAAGAGGACCGGTATTATATTGAATTAAAAGGGGCTTGTATTGTATTATCAAATGATACTTTCAGGGGGGAATCCCTGCGGGGAGTGCTAGCTGACAGTCACCGCTTCAAGCTGACCTGTGACAATGAAGCTGTCACAGGTCTGCAGGGAGAGGATCGTGAAGTCAGTGATCGGTGGTATGTGTTCACTCACTTCCTGATCAATAGAGCTGACCTGTGACAGCTTCATTGTCACAGGTCGCTTGAATTATGGGGAAGTTTTCTTCCTGTCTAGCTTGAATTTGTTCTGGGGACCTCCATTGTAGTGTTTTGTATACTACCCTACTCATGTGCACCTTTCAGCTGAGAGTCAGACCAATTAGCTGTGCAGAAAGAGGTAGCTCTAAAATTAAATTAGACATTTCTGCAGTTATAACTGCATCCTGAATAACTTATTCGAAAACTGGTATATTCTATTTAATAGGGAGCAGATTTTTTTGATGGAACATACAAGGGCTCTGCTTTCAGGTAGTATCATGCTGTGTGACCATTCTAATTTGCAAAGTAATTACAAGATTTTCCATTAAATCTATCAGGTGACACAGACTTCAGCATCTACTATGTTTACCTAGTCTTATGTTTACCCAGTCTTATGACGAAAGTACTTGCAGATCTTTTTTTCATTTATGATGACACATATCCTGCATCGTACCATCAAATTAGCGTTATTTTTGGACCTCGAATAGGACTAATTTTGATGCATGAGCCTAATTATATTCTCGGGTTAATTAGAACAATCTTTCCCACAAGGAAAAAGTAACATGTAACTTGAAAGAAATGTATTATCAAAAATTAAGAGGCATAGAAAGACGCACAATCATCCCTGATTAAAATCATACATCGGGGGACCCTGAGTTACGATGTTAAATCACCACAAACCTTGTTGACAATTTCAGCTTACAATAATTATGTTGATTTAACCTACAAATATGTTTTGTATCTCTACAACGGATGGTGTGTTTCTCCTTTTCTCCAGTACTTATCTGCAGTGCAAGTTTGTCTTCTAAGCTAAAATGATCCCTCGCACATAACTGTTGCCTACACTGTAGAACATTTGTAGGTCTGCAATAGCAATATTCTAATAATATTAGAGAACCACTGCAACATAATTAGAGAAAACCTATACTGAGAAGAACGTGCCAGATGTCATTGTTAACCTCATTGTTGTGTGAAAATGCTAATCGTCTGATTTTCATGTTGATTGAGAAGCTTCAGCTATGCACATGAGCAGTTTTCTAGCATTCTCAGCCAGTTACCAACTTCCAATCAAAAAAGGATTGAAGGATCACAGCAACCTGCCAACTTGCCTGCCATATGAATATCAAAACTGTTGGTGGTAATTTGCCAGTCTGACTTTAAAGCTGAACTCCAGCCAGCTGCTCCCCCCACCAATTAAAAAAACACTTCTACTTACATAAATCTGTAGCCACGTGATGCTCCAGGTCTTAAGCCTTCTATTATCTCTGTTGAGGAGAAGGATCATTCTTTCGTTTTCCCATGCCTTCCTGGGTGACATGGATGCTTCCTATTGCACAGCAGAATAATATCATGAAGAGGCGACTGGCACAGACTGCAGCAATTGGATCGACTGGTCATCCCTTCCAGAAGAGGCGCCAGCGAGGGACACATTAGGTGAGCAAAAATAACAAAAAAAGCAATACCATGTTATTTTTATTACATTTGCTGAATGAGTGAGTGGAGAGGGCGATGGGAGACCATTGTCTAGAGATGGGCTTTAAGCTTTAATATGTGTAATTGACTATCTCCCTGTTTATTACATTCCTCCATCCTCACAACAGCTGGAATTTAAAACTAGACTGAAAGTACGAGTAGCTATATATGATGCTGAACTAAGAAAGGCACAGAGTTTCTACTCTGCTAATCTACTGCTGATGTTAGATACATTTCCTAGGCCAAAGAAAAGACAGGTATCAGCGTGCAAAGTACCGGAACCATGAAGAGAAGTGGGTATGGGGGGGGAAGCTTGTCTGCTTTTGTATCTTTGTTAGAATTACTGTTGGATATAGAACATTAAATTTGATATGGTCATGTACACAGACATCTCAACTCTTCCAGACGTTCCGGGAGTCTATAAGATAGCGGCTCCTGGGCACCAGGCAGAGAAACATATTCACCCTGAAAGCTTTACTATGCTCTATCTTGCAGAGTAAACCTGTCCCTGCTATCTGGTTGTTTTTTGACATCGGGACCAAGTCAGTCAGAGGGGGACCTCTGACTGACCCTCTGTCAGTCAGAGGGGGGAGGGGGGGGGGGACAGCATAGGAATGAATGGCTAGGCTTCTATTGGCTATTTCAATCTGCAATAGCCAATCAGACTAGGTATTGCACCTGTCCACTGCTGCTGTCAATCAGCAGAAGTGGACCTGAATTTCTCCATCAGGTCCTCCTCTGCCGATTGACAGCAGCCGAGGGTGGATGCAATAGCCAGCTTGCTATTGGATATTGCAAATTGAAATAGCCAATAGCAATCTATCTATTCATTCCTATGCTTTTGTTTTTGTTTTTTTGTTTTTATTCTGACAGCAGCAGGTGTCAGAATACTACAAACAAAACAGCAGATAGCAAGGGAAGCAAGGAAGCATTAGCTTCTTTGCTATCTGCCATCATTTCAGGGGGGGAGACAGAGAGCATCTCCCTGAAATGAGAAGGGCACCTAAGGCTAAAAAATGTGGTCACACTGTCCAGAACTATATATTGTGGGTGAATAGAGGATGGGTATATCTGAGATAGCCATGGTGAAATAATCATGGCATGCTTCTCATGCTTCTAAAACTATGAAGCCAGCTTGAAGTACACCTGTTAGTTCCTAAAATATGCAAAGCTATTTACACAAATGCACAAAGCGATTTTAGCGTTGTCCACTGAAATTACCCATCTCATTTTCTACAGAACAGAAGAAGGTAAAGAACTGTAATAAACTCTGCTAACATCCCAACAATGTATATAACTAACCTGGATTAGTCCCACTTCAACAGAGGGTGTTGTGATTTTTTTTAGTGGCTTTTTACTTCTTTAAAACCCTTCAATACTTCTATGGTTCCATTCACTCTAAATCTTCCCAGTTAACAATGCACACAAAGTTGGCTGCTGATTATTATTCAGAGTCACAATTTGCTGCTTGACCTTCACTTTTTCAGACTGTTTATGGTCGTAGCACATTTATTTGCAGAGGTTACAGAGCAATGAAGGAACTAAATTAACACCATTTATACTGTTTCTGAATATTTTGGAGCCCATTATGCACATTCCCCTAGACCTATGAGCATGAAATATGATTTCTAATATTCATAGCATTGCAATGAATATTTCTGTCTGGCTTTGTGAACACAAGTGTTTTCTACAGCATTGCACAGTATTCAAATGTTCATCCAGGAAAAAAAGATGAAGAGTTTGAATGGCAACACCCCTCTGTAGTCACTGGTAAATATTTTAACTATAAAAAATATAATTTTTATTTTAATAAAAAATAGCAATAGATGGTGATTGATTGATTGATTGGTAGCTAAGTAGATAGGTATAGATCAATAACTCCTTCCCTTGTGTAGCACCCTGTAAGCAGGAGTGCTTAGTTAAATTTAGTTGTTTTCTGATTCTGATTCAATAGTCTATGCTCATTTGGTCTCCCCTAATCAGTCTGTTATCGTTTGCATCTGCCTGCTGCTAGGTGTATCCTTGCCACAGAGCACAGCAACAATAAGAGATTATTATGAATATTTTTGTCTCCCTGGTCAATCACTAGGAGGTTTGTGGCCAGTGGTACATGCTGGTAGAAGACATAAATATTTGGGGTGGACCATTTGAGATTATCTTTCTCCCACGGGCCCTGCCTGGGGGGAGGCTGCTATGAAGTGACTGATTTAGCTAGGCCTGGAGCCTAGGGGACTCACACTGAGACTATGTGCTCACACTGAGGCCTGAGTCTGGGGGCCCAGTGGCTGATACCAAGGATGAAGATAACAGAGTAATTTCAACAAGCATGGGGAACCTGAGAAGTGAGTCTCTGCTGTAACTGGAGAGTCTGTTCCTAAATGGTCTGGTGACTTCTGATTCAAGTACTGCTTAGCCAGTTTCTCAAAACACAGATTGCCACATTTGGCTTAAAGGTCCTATATCTGTGCTGGCAGCAGATCGTTTGTTCATCAGTTTAATGGAGTCTACACCATTCTGGATGTCCTTAGCCCTAAACCCTGAACTGACTGATTTAGCTAGGCCTGGAGCCTAGGGGACTAGCCATTTGCTCACACTGAGGCCTGAGTCTGGGGGCCCAGTGGCTGATACTATGGATGAAGATGACAGAGTAATTTCAATAGGCATTGGGAACCTGAGAAGTGAGTCTCTGCTGTAACTGGAGAGTCTGTTCCTAAATGGTCTGGTGACTTCTGATTCAAGTACTGCTTAGCCAGTTTCTCAAAACACAGATTGCCACATTTGGCTTAAAGGTCCTATATCTGTGCTGGCAGCAGATCGTTTGTTCATCAGTTTAATGAAGTCTACACCATTCTGTAATGTCCTTAGCCCTAAACCTCTATCCCTGAGTTCCACAATAAAAGTTCTTCAGCATCATATCTACAGTCTGTATCTCTGTTTATCGGTTGCCACAGAGGGTAGTACGTGCTATTGGGGCAGCCAGGTTGCTAAAATCCCTAGACAGGCTAAGGAAGACCTGCTCATACAACGGCTCCTTCAGGGGTGAGCACTACACTTGTTTTTTTAATTATTATTATTCCAATTTTATCAGTTGCTCAGTGTGGGCATACCTGACCTTATATCTGGAAGAGAGCATAACAAACTTGTTCAATGGTTGTAAAAACCAGACAACTAAGAGGGTAACTACAGATAGATAATGAGCACTTTGAGTTGACCGTGCTCGTTATCGCAACATGTCTGAAAATGTTTGTGTTTCTTTGGCGGTCTATAATGATATACTATTTTATGTAGATCCTAACTCTTTATTCAGGTTGTATGCTGCATTATTCACAGGATTGTCATAGTTTGTTTATATTGTGAAACATTAATATTAAAATCAAGGAAGGGTCACTACAACTGGAAAATTGTGGATAAATCATCCAATGGGTCCAAGCACCGGTAGCACTTGGTCCCATTCTGATCTATGCTGTGGTTGCTGAGCTAGCATGATTGACAGCACACTCCCCTTCCCCCTATGGCTGTTCAACCAAGCCGCTCAGCAGAAGACAAATTTTTAATAAGAGCTGAGTGACAAAACACACGGAGGAGAGGTGTTGGTGACAAAAAGCACACAGAGAGGAGGGGGGCATGGCCGACACCATACACAGAGGGTACCATCTTGTCTTGAATTGTATTGTGGCTGTAATGTCTTCCTTATATTGTAAAGCGCTGTGCAAACTATTGGCGCTATATAAATCCTGTATAATAATAATAATAATAATAGAGGGTATTGACACAGTATGCACAGTGAATTAAATTAGTTTCCTTTTTTCTTTTGACCATTTTGTTCACCTGGTGATCCTGCCAGTAACACACTTCCTGTCCTAGACTGACAGTGCACACTCACTATCCTGTATCTATGGAGGAGCAGCTAGGATGCTTGCTCCTGTTGTTTAATACAACCCCCCTTATCTACATAACATAGGGGAATGGTGCTCTGTAGTCCACAACTGATATCATTGTTTCTGATAACACTGCAGAATGCACAGGACAGCACTGGATAGAATTCACAGGTATAATCTTGCACTTATCAATAAGATCTAAGAAAACACTTTTCACTGTATATCTCACAGACCAAAATGTAGCAAACGAGACTTTCATTGTTATTGTTTGCATACGCTTTAGGAAATGTCTGTGTGTCATACATTTCTTAAATCGGTCCCTAAAAAGAGCAGGCCACAGATTGATGACAGTAGTCACTTAGCTAAAGCCACACTTTGTCTGTTATTCATGTCTGTTACTGGGGTATCAAAAAACCCAGGGATCAAACCTTAAAGTGACATTAAACCCTCAGATTTTTTAACATAAACCAATACTGTAATGTGTGCCTTACTGTAGTTCCCTTCTCTTTGCTGTTCTTCCTTTTAAATCCTCATGTCTTCTCATGCTTGGGGAGAACTTCCCTTTGCAGCTCAGGGCCTCTTCCTGTAGTGCTGGCTCAGGTTACAAACCTACACACAGACACCATGTATCCCTTCCAGAGACAAGGCAGTCTGCTGCAAAACAGAAGTTCTGCAGAGCATGAGAATGTCACTTTAATTCTCTTTACCAACATAAAAAAAAAATGTAAGGATAGTTGTTTTTTGATGTAGCAGACTAGGGTCTTCTTCGCACATAAGGCACCCACATGCCTCATTCCTTCACAAATCCCAAAAATAAGAGGATTATTCTTCATTTCAGGATAGTGGGCAAATCAGTCCTTTTTGCCTCAATAGCCAAATGTGCATCTAGAACCTCTGGTGTATAGTATAGATACAGCCTAATATTACAGAGCCGTTTATCCCATAACCTTCATGGTTATACATTCTTGTTCTTTATTGAAAACGCATTAACATTGTCATGCAGTACAACTTTTACACTCTGATTATTATTTTTGTACACTCTGATTAGTATATGTCTGAACCGATATAATGTATACTCTCATTAGTATATATAGGAGACTAGATACAATGAGTGAATCAATAAATTGACACCAGCTAAAAGATGAGTCACAAATAATTTGTTTCGCACCTCAGTACCATTACAGCTTTACACTAAAATGAAGCATGGTTTGAGAAAGGACAAAAAAAAACTTTTTTATTTCTCTTTGCATTGAACTTTAAAAAATGTTTTTTCTTGTGCACACAGGTGCTAGAAGCTAAAGTCAATGAAGTGAAGATCAATGAAGCTCGGGAACATTATCGTCCTGTGGCTTCAAGAGCCTCTCTCCTCTACTTCATTATGAATGACTTGAAGAAAATCAGCCCCATGTACCAATTCTCTCTTAAGGTTGTAACAAAAGAATATTCAGTGTCTTATTGTAGCTCTATGGCAAGCCATTAGGGAATAAGCCCACCTAAAACCACAACGTTTCTTTATAAGAAAGCTGCAAGATCTGTGCAGTACAGAAATTGCAATAGCCACATGTGAAAACTGAAGGGAACAAAATGACATGATGTCAGTATTTTTTTTTCTGTGGGACATTTGGAAATTCTAACAGTGAATGTGGTTTCGTTCAGGAAACTTAATTTATTCCAGAATCGAATGTGAAAATCAAACGGAAATTTCGAACAACATTTGTCAAGTCTCTGATGGCATTATCAAATGTTCTAATGAGATTTTTGCATGAATGTTCATAGGAAAATGCTATGGCTATGGCTATCTTAAAATATGGGAAATGTGATAATCTCACCTATCTCTGCCCTCACAAAGCAGAACATTTAAAGTAGCCGTACATATCCAAATAGCTTTAACAGATGTTTACTTAAAGGAGAACAATGGTCGGCTCAGTAGATCGGGAAGTGAGCGAACACATACCGGCATTCGCTCACTTCTCGATCCTGTCATGGCTCTCTGCCGTGACAGGGGAGGGGCTGGATTTCCCCCTCCCTGTTCTGATCCTCTGGCGCTGATTGGTGGAACGGACGGGGGAGGGGGCGGGTACAGCTGGCTCTGCCTCTAGATAGGCAGAGCCAGGTGTCACTCACGCAGGTGGACGGATGCAGACATAATTGTCGGGATCCGCTTCAGCTGCGGCATCTCAGTATACCGCGATCTGTAGCTTGCGGTATACTGAGCCTACGGTGACGGGAGGACGCTAGTTTGTGTCCTCCCGTTACCCTAAGGAGGACTATGGGGGAAAAGCCCTAACCCCATAGTTCTCCTTTAAAAACGAATTATTTTATATATTGCCTTATATATGTACTTTGTTTTTGCTTTATTTCACTCTCTCTTTTTATGTGATTTTTAGTGCATCCTGTTGCATATTTTTCATATTTGTTAATGATTTTTTATGTGTTATGAAGGTCAAAAAAAGTATAGTTTGCAAGGGGGTATTTAACGTGGACATCTAGTGGTGGTAAGGAATTAATGCAAGGACAGTGCTACACTGGTGGTGAATTTTGCAAAAACAGCGTTTATTTTACTTTAAATCCCTGGGAGACTTTTTTTTAATTGTGCCAGGTTTTGGCCTTTAATCCCACAATTTAGAAAAACAGCATTCTATGTAATTGAATTAGTGACCTGCTGCATGTCTCAATGAATTTTATTGGTGACGTCTTGCAGGTTATCAAGTCTTGGTACATTCCGTAACCTCATAACAATAAATAAATAAGTGAGGTTGCTTGTTGGATGGTTAAGCTATCTAAAGGCTTTACTCTGCATAACACCTGCTCAAAACAAGCCTTTCCACTAACACAGGAGGGTTAATTGTAGAGCTATTAAGAGTTGTCTTGCTCTGGTCCCCATGTTAATTGACATAATGTGAATTAATTTCTCATGTGCAGGCTTTTAATATCGTGTTTCACAAGGCTGTGCAGCAAGCAGAACCATCTGATGATGTCCGATTGACAGTGAATAACCTCATTGACTGCGTGACATACTCCACATTCATATACATCAGTAGAGGACTGTTTGAAAGGGATAAAATAACCTTCACAGGCCAGCTGGCTTTCCAGGTATAGTACATGTACATGTTATGGTTTCCAGGAGAGAAAAGGTGACAATGCTTACTTTAGCAAACTGAGTTACCAGCAATATGCTTAGTTATTGCCTTTGTTATTATGATGTCTATCATTACTAGTGGTAGCAGAATATTAGTAGTGTTATTAGGTATACTTTTACTACTACTGGAAATAATATTAATTAGTACTAATGGTCATATTTTAAAGGGAAAATATAATGTTTCTAGTCAATTTGATTTGATTTTATTACCACTTATGAGTGTTTAAATTGATATTTTTTTCATTATTTGTAAATGTATGAGGGTTTCCATAACCATTTGTTAGCAAAGTTTTCTAAAAAAGAAGTCCAGCACTGCCTGTTCATTTTTGAATGCTTCTGCCTTCCTAAAAATCCATAGGAGTAGTATTGACTAACATGGGGTTGTGTCCCTCCTCTGACTCATCCAGCTATGTGTGTGTGTGTATTGTGCATAGACCTGAATAGCAGCAACAGATCAAAGTTCACAAGCCATTCAAGCAATTCACAGCATAGTAGTAAGTCAACTTAGAGAAGAAATTGAGATTAGACTTTAGCTTGCTGGCCATCAGTAGCAGTTATGAAATATTGATTTTCAGGAATTCATAATCACCCTATCAAATGGAACATTTCGTAATCCTTAGAATAACATAAAACAAAATTCCATTTAACACACAAAACTTTTGCAACACTTGTGATTTTTGCTTGTAATGTTCTATTTATTGTAATTTATTATGAAATTTAAAAGGTTTCCTGTTAAAGGGCACCTATGATATCAGTCTGAAGTTTTGTAGGATGTTTTGCAAGTTATAGGTGCAAATACAGAAAAAATTTTAAAGTATTTTACTGTTTACCAGCAGAATCAACTGAAGACTACTGTTTATACATTAGGTATAGTAACAAATAGATCCCAAAATACATTATGACGATTTTCATATGTCAAGATTGTTTTTCTGCAGGCAGACGTATGTACAGTATGGTTGGATGTGGGATGTCTACATCTTAAATGTATTTCCTGAGTTATGCTTGCATACCCTTCTGTGTTCCTGTTTGCCCAATCACTAACAGGGTTATTCACAAAAAGGTGAAGAGTTTGGAGAAGACAGGAGACGTGAACAATCTAGGACAATATAGCTGAACTGGAAAAATTATCCAATTCAGCTCACTTTCCAGTTCAGCTATGTTGTCCTAGATCGTTCCCTTCTCCTGCCTTCTCCAAACTCTTCACCTTTTTGTGAATAACCCTGTAAAATCTCATATAATCTTTAACATATCATAATCTTTAACATATGTAATTTAAAAAAATAATTTACAATCTTTTTAGGCCTTTTCACACCAGCAGCTTTGCTAAAACGCACAAGGGACATTTACTAAGTTCTATGGGCTTAGGTTGTACCGCATCACATCCCACTAAGCTGAAAATAGTACTGCATGCAGTACTTTTTTCAGTGCACACCACCACAACATGATGGTGTAGGCTGAGCCTATTCAAAACGCATCTGGTGTGCACCCAGCCTAGGTCTGCAGCTTTCATTAAAGTTACACATGGGCATCCTATCATAAAGGATCTCCTTGCTCACACACTTTCTGTTATGGGGTGAAGAGCTCTGTCCCTGTCTGCTAATTGCAGCTCTGATGATGCTCATTGTGAAGCCATGTTCCTCCACTGTCACTATCAGGAAACTGATCTGAGCAATGACATGCAGCCGATAATGGGGCGAGTACATATATACAGGGATAAAAAAAAAAATTGCAATTGATACACAGTGCTTTAACTAACTAGATGTCTTTCAAAAAGGGCTCACATCTACTGTAGGTGTTAGTTTTAAAACAGGGCCATATATATAAGATGCAGGCAGCATAGTGGGTAAGCAATAAGTGGTCATGTAGTGTTGCAGTCCAGGGTTCAGTTTCTATGCTCCCCTGTGTTTTCCTAATTTTTTATGGGTGCTCCCTATGCCCAAAAACACAAACTTAATAGATGCAATTGCCATCAGACTAAATAATGCAGAAAAAGTCCTGTCAATCTATTTCCATATCTGTATCTTGCCAAGAAAACCTGGAGAACCATAACAATAGGAGAACAATCCAGGAGATCAGCAGAAATTAAGCCTCTAGTTAGAAAATGAGGGTTCCTATTATGAGACCAGAGCATAGCCAGTTAAATCTCTTTCACTGTCCTTACTGATTTAATAAACAATTGCTGTTTCTTATTAGATTGCAGCATATTTGTGTTTGTTTTAATTTTTTATGTCTTTGCCAGCAATGTCTCTTTTTCTGTTTTACTGCATTCCATTTTAGTGGAAAAAAACCTCTCAGACATCTGTAAAGAATGGTTTAAATTTACACCATTTGGTTGTTTCAGATGAGATAGGAATCACATCTAATGCCCATCTCAATATTTTCATTTAGTGAGAATCAGATGTCAGACAAAGAACAGTTCACAGTTAGAACATGTTATCCTTTTGGATGAAATCACACATGCAGAGTTATCTTTTCCATTACATTTTATATGGGAGCAATATATGGACAGAAGCCATTCATACGTCATCCATCGTTTGAGCATACATTATTTTTTCACTGAGCAAGCATTTACTGTAGGTTTATAGAATGTTAGTTTAAAGCTCAGAAGTGCATCCAAGTTCATACATAGTCCCCGGAATCCTCTTGGTATAGCTTACAAAATTTACATACACATGTAGGAAAAACAAGCTTCCATAGGCTGGCCATGCACTGTTAGATGGGAATTGTCTGAAATTCTAATAGGAGGCCCTGCTGGCTTGACATAAGTCGGTTGATTAAGGAGTCATGGTCAGCCGAACAGTGACTACAGCCACCGGTCCAAGCTCACTCCCATCAAAGACCATAACTTCAATACAGATTAGCTAACTTAACATCAGATTGTAGTCCATCACGGAAGCGAGCTTGGAGCAATGGCTTCTTTACAACACAAACAGGGACCATGGGGAACAGGAACCTGCAGTCACTGTTTGGGTATTCTGGCAGCAGTGAGCGCCATCTGTCAGAATACAAGAGCCCAGCAAAGGGGGAATTTTAGCATCCCCTGCTGAATGCTTTCCTCCTGTCCAATGAAAGCCCCTATTTGGCCAACAAGGGCTCTCTCATTGGATAAGACAATGGCCATTGGTAGAACGTAGCCATAAATTCGGGGAAGTCCGGCCCCTAGTAACAAAATATAATTAGATGCACACAGATGAGGTTTGTGCTTTGTAATCTGGACTTTTACTCTTAAATGTTTAAAATGGGTAACAGGTTTGCTTTAAGTAGTAGTAAGTAGTACTATATGAAGAATCCTGATTCAGTTATACATACTTTAATAATTTAGTAAGGCACTTTCTAAAGAGAAGACTTATTCTGTCTTTATATTTCATCATTGCTGGCAGATCTATGGTTCAGAGAAGGTGAACTCTTTGCTTGCCCTCCAGCAGATAGAAGAGAGACTCCCTTTAATGTGTACAAGCACGTCATGTCTGACATGAAAATGTGACAGGTTTTATGTTTTGCATGCCAATTATCTAACTACGTGTGTTATACTTTTTCAGCTTTTGATAATGAATAAAGAAATCTCGGCTCAAGAACTTGACTTTTTACTGCGCTTTAACATTGAGCACATCTATAATAGTCCACTGGACTTTCTTTCAAATTCAGCATGGAGCGCTATTAAGGTATATTTAATGTGGTGCGGAATATTTTCTTGCTGATGGCTCATGAATCAATTCTTCTTGGCAATCTCTGGAATAGCTACAATGTTTAGCATATACTTGAAATGGAATTGGGGCTTGGAGAGCCTTTTTATATATATATATTTACACACCATTTTCATCCTATTAAGTTGTATTATCCCATGGAGTTGAACCTGTAATTTGGCTTATTTGGCAGGGTTCCATTTTCCATTGACACTTGTGGCACCATATTTGAAGTAGAACTCCAGGCAAACAGGAACAATTGTAATTTATTGATGATTATGTTTTACTTTTAGCCAACCATTCTTGTGATGCTCACATTTCTGCTAGTCCGTAAGATCACCCTACTACTTCCTGGTTTAATATTACTGCTTCCTGGGTCAGCTCACTGGACAGAGGTGACAATGCTGATTAGATATCTCTTTACTTTGCCTCTTAGCTGGTTGCCATTATAGTGGGGAACACAGACAGGGACAGAGTTTCAATAAATAACTGGGGAAAAACTGGGGGGCGTTTTGCTGCAGCCTGTGTCCTCACTGGAAAGTTTTCCTATTACTTCCTGTACTAAAAGGAAGTGGAAAAGAATCCCCCCAACAGTGATACAATGGATACAAACTAGTAGAAAACTGATAGAGGTTCTAATCTTTCCATAGAGCTTTTGTTATTGTCTCAGGCCCCATTGTAGAGATTTGCAACCATTTCCTGTCCCTCTGACACCTTGTCAGGGACAATGACAACAATGCAATTTTTCTACAGCCTATTGTATGCTGCTGGAGTGACCCCCCAACCTTCATTGTCATCAATTTAGCAGCCCAGGACCATACTATACTACCTTCACACTGGTGCACCCCAATGTGAAGAGCATAATCTCTGCAAAGCACATCATATATTATAGCAAATGAGAAACAAACAGCACAGAAGAATAGCAAACGTAGTCCAGTATTTAAAAAACTGTTTTTCAAGAATATAATTTGTATGGGGACACTGTAGGATCCTTGGTACAGCTGATTAAGTATATGCTTGTGTAAGGGCAGCTGTTTTATGTATGCTTGTGTTATATGCAGACAATGAGTTTTATGGATGAATTCCGAGGTCTAGACAGAGACATTGAAGGATCACCAAAGCGATGGAAAAGGGTGATTGAATCAGAATGCCCAGAGAGGGAACGACTGCCACAAGAATGGAAAAACAAAAGTTCCTTACAGAAAATGATTCTAATGCGTGCACTAAGACCGGACCGAATGACATATGCCATCAGGTACATTACAAACCAGGGGAGGACTGGGAACCTTTGAACAGGGGGAAAGCACAACCAACTAGCCCTTTTTTTATGTGTTCTTTGTGGCTTAATAGTGCGTACATGCAAAGCGTGCCATGGTGCCTCATAGATTGGTGAACATGGTGAAAGGTAGCTGTTCCTAAAGGACATGGTTTAGAGTTCTTGGGCTATTGTTTGCTTCTAGCAGGTTTTGTATTCTCATACAAGTCTATGAGAATGCAAAACCCACCAGAAGCAGGTCAACTGCTGGTCAGGAGGAGGTCAACTGCAGGTCAAATGTAACAGCAATAAATTGTGAAGGATCTTATACACAATTTAAAAAGATGCCATCAAAGCAAGCCCAAACCCATCAACACCTTTTCACATTTTCCAGGATCAAATTCCTTTATGACTCTTGATATTTGATTACATGCCATCTTAGAGCCACAAAGGGAATTGTTGCTGGAAGACAAGTCTGAATGAGGTGCCTACTGTTTATAATGCCCAGCATTAGTCACTGACTGTATGTTCTACTGTGATCTTTATCTTAATGGTGAAGTATCTCTACTCAAGACCACCATCCCAAAATATCTTATTAGTACTGGCCAAGAGTGCAAGTGCCCCCCAGCCCATCCCTCCCCATTACAACCTTCTGGCCCTTACTAGAATTAAATATCAGATTTCTGGGTCTAACTACCTGAGTGTGAGACACAGTTTATCATGTTCTATAATTATTAACTGTATATAGATAGCAGTGGCGTAACCAGAGTTCTGGGCGCCCGGGGCAGAAATTTCCCCCCCCCATTATATAAACAACCACTGGAACTGTACCCTGCACCTCCCCTCCACACACACATGTTTTTATTTTAATTTTTCAAATTTTAATATTTTAAGGCCGCTGCGGGGGTTTTTGCTCCTGACTGGCCGCTGCGTGGGGTTTTTTTCTTCTTCTTACTTACCTCGGCGAGCGTCGCGTCACTGCTGCTCCGGTGGGCGGCGCTCCGAGCGGGGTCACCTGGCAGTCTCCGGCCACCTAAATTAGGACCCGGAGACTGCCAGATGACCCCGCTCGGAGCGCCGCCCACCGGAGCAGCAGTGACGCGACGCTCGGCGAGGTAAGTAAGAAGAAACCTGACCAGCTCGAGACGCTGACTCGAGTATAAGCCGAGGGGGGCACTTTTCAGCAAAAAAAAATGGGCTGAAGAACTCGGCTTATACTCGAGTATATACGGTAATAGAGAATGTGTATATTATGACCCATTTTAGGATTTTTCCTGTGAAGATGTAAGTTTGGGAACTGTTTTAATAAAGTTAGAAGAGTATATTTAATTAAGCTTGCTAAAATAATTTGTACTAACAATTGCCATGGCTTTTCTTTGAGAGATAAGATACTGTTCTAGCTATTTTCAGACCATTCCTGCCTACATTTCCACACTCCCGCTTCCTGATAGTAACAACAGTGGACCGTGCCCGCACAATGTGTGTCAGCATGGCTGCTTTTGGTTTCCACCAGTGGTGCACTTGACAGGGTAACAATACTAGAGCACAAATGGGAGACAGTTGTCCCCAACATGAAGTGTCTAAACAAGGACCTTCATAGCAGGATCATCAGGTATTATTTTAATAAAAGCTGCAGATTTGAAAGAAAAACTTTTGAAATTAATTTAAAGCGGTAAAACTTTTATAAGAGTTGATTGGGTTTAGATCTACTATTTTATGGTTTTACAAATAATATAAAATTCAGTGCTACAAAGTCAGTTTTTTTCTGTGTGATGTAAATACTAATTTAAAGTGCATATTCATTTTAGAAACTTTGTTGAAGAGAAACTTGGAACCAAATATGTAGAACGACGTAAGACAGAGTTTGCCAAATCCTTTCAGGAGAGCGGTCCAGCTACCCCCATTGTCTTCATATTATCACCAGGAGTTGATCCCATGAAGGATGTAGAGACACTTGGTATGATTGGCATATTGTTGTGTTACATTACATTGTGAGCATTTCAGTATATCCATTTCTTTTGATACTCTCACATAGGGCACCTATATAATCACTTTCTTAATTAGTATGTATTATTTATTCTGCTCCATTGTATCTATACAGGCTTGTGAATTGCCAAATACACCCAAAGCACCCAAAATGTTCAAAATAAGTTTTTTTTCTTCACCGTTGAGCAACTGTAGACGCATGGCATGTTGTGTCTGTGTGAGAATGTGAGATCTTGGAGCAATCCACTCAACATGCACATTTACTATACCCTTCAGTCTATGTCATTCAAGCATCTTATCACAGCCTTGGAGGCAATATTATGCTACATAGCCTTATCTGTGCTGTGTGTTAGCAGATATCAAAGCCAATCTAGTGAAATTGTCAAACTTGTGATAATGACCATTTTCCTTGGCCCTTTGCTGGGATCATGTGTGCCCCATACATACACTGTCCACAGAAAACACTGTTCCAGTAACAAATCAACAGAGGTAGTAAGCCCTATGCCAGTTTGGGCAACCTAGTCCTCACCTTAATTCAAGAGTACTTGTAATTTTTCCATCTCACATCTCATTTTGCATTCTGAATTAGACTATTATATAAATATGTTTACCACAGACATTACCATAGACCATCCTTCTCTGATTTTGGCATAGCTGTACAGTGGCTTAAAGGGAGTCAATGGTTTTGAGCCACTTTATTATATTTTCATTTTGTATGTAGTCTCCTGAGATATACATTATGTGTATATATTATGTATATAAATATTTACTACCTGACAAAAGATTTTCAAAACTAAAGGCTAGGTAAAGAGACAGTGCAATAGAAGTAGCTCCCTTTCTGACACTGCTGTCTCTAATTGAAATGTTTTACTGAGCAGTTGTTTGGACTCATACAGTTCTGTCTGTAAATCTAACCTTGATATACTGATTTCTGGAAATATGCCTTTTTGAACAGGTGGTAGGTGGAGCGATTGATAAAAAGAGGTTAGAGATCCACCAGCTGGTAAAATAAAAGGATATCCTTATGTAATATTTCATATTTACCAGGTTAAAACAAAATAAAAAATATTTTGCAATTTTTCTTAGTTAAAATAATAATACACAAAAAATAGAACAAAACTATTATTATTTCCTTTAATTGTCCCAGTCTCACTCCCATTGCTGCGGCAAGGGTCCAGCCATTTTGTATTACTGTAGGTAATAACAAGCGGTCCATTTTCCTTAATCTGTTTAAAAATGTATGTATCATTGGCCTAAGCCTTTTCTGAGTGATCAGACAGAAGGAAGGTTTTACCTGCATATACTCTGCTTTCGTCCATCAGGCAAGTTGCGTATAAAACAAGAGCAGATGCCAGCTCTAGAAAGGACTGGCAGATATCTCACTGCCCACCATTCTGAAGGAGACCATCTATTACTAGCCTTGCTATTGTCATATGTGTAATTTGTTGTGCATTTCTTTATAAATTGCTGATCAATCTTATCCCTCTCTTGTGTGTTTATGCTGTTGATATGATTGCTTGCATCGTATAGGTGACAAACTTGGATTCACCATTGACTCAGGAAAACTTCACAATATTTCCTTGGGTCAAGGGCAGGAAGTTATAGCAGAAATAGCGATGGAAAAGGCATCAAAAGAAGGCCACTGGGTTATACTTCAAGTAAGCCGATTCTGTTTGTTATAGAAGTGCTTCATTGCCAAGCTAGGAAACTGTACTTTTACAAGAAAGAACTTTTTCTACAAAAATGCTTTGTGGAATGAAATTGGGTACCTGTCCAAATATGTTTCTTTTTAATGATACACTCTAGTTATTTTGTGCTGATTGAAAGTGGGATTTTTATTTATCTCAAGAAGATAGCATTGATCATAGTTTGTACATTGGTGTTTCTTTCAAACTGAAATGTGTTTTTTTTTTCACACTACGCTGAACAATTTTACTATCAATTTAAACGTGTAAACATAATGCAAAATTGTGTAGCAGATATAATTAACATTCTGAAAACAATATAAAGAGAAAACAACACATTTATCTACCTAAATACATTGCATATCAATGAAAAACAGACAATATTTACCATTAGCATGTATATGTTTATTACTTTTCTAAAGGACTTTTTTTTAATTTCTGTGTTATATTTTAATGCTGTAATACTGCATAACTAGATGCTACCTTTTTTTAAATTTAAATACAAGCGAGCTTATTCAATAAAGTAGGGATGAAAACGAACATACAGTAACCTATAACAACTAATTAAATGTCCTTCATAAAACTTGAATTTAAATTAAAAAAAATATGGTATATCGAAAAAGCATTGCTGATTGGCTGCTGGGTGTTACTACGCTTAACATACTGCCCTTGTCTTATTAAATAATAACTTATTCTATAAAGGGCTGTACTGTAAATAGATTATCTATCAAATACAATGTGAATTCTGGTCCTTGTGCATCAAAATATTCATTTGGGAGATAAGCAATAGGAACTTAGGAGCATGCTTTAATTATCAAAACAAAAACAATGTTTCATTAACATTTTAATTCATCAGTATCAAATTTAATAGATAATTTATTAACATATCCATACCACTACACACATATATAAACTATAGCAGGGCCCTTTACAAAGATTGTAAGTTATCCATAATCATATCCATAATGCTCTGTCCTTTTCCCCCGTGGTTCACCTGTGTTGTCATGTTGTCATTACAAGTAGCCATGCTGACGCACATTACACAGACACAATCCACTATTGTCACCATCATGAGACCCACCCTGACCCTCCATGTATGCAGCCATTGTTGGTGTGCATACATGTAGATAGAAGCCACAGAAGATGGCCAACACTGATATCCCACAACAATTGAAACATTGAAAACAATATTTTATTTAAAAAAATGCAATTGTTTCATACACAGTTCTGCAGCAACATGAATGCCATTAAGATAGAGGTTACATAAACTGCCCTACCCTCTATTGGCTGACCAAAAGGAAAACTCCACTTTTGTTAAAAAAAGAAAAAAAAGAATATGGTATATAAAACTGCTGCACACGCCATTTTGTAATTTAATGTTATTAAAAATGTCCTTTATATTTCAATGTGAAGCTGCTGTAATTTTGGAAAACTATTCAAAAATGTTAATGCAATATGGCAACATGGAGACTTTCTGTACACCATTGGTTTATGGAATGCCCCTGGAAATGTAATTGTCTCCCAGAAGTAAAAAATGTAGGCATTCCCCTGCAATGGAAATTTCATTTTTGGTGAGGTACTCCCTATGGGTTAACTACTTCTAAAGGGATGCAGACCCCACAGCTGTCCTCATTAGAACACTGAAAGGGCCCCGTGTGGTTATAATGAACCAGACCCTCCCATTCAGGAATCAGTCTGGAAAAGACATGCTTTTTTCCCAATACAGAAAGAAGTAGGAGTCTGCAACAAAGATTTTTAAAATACTTACAAAGTACCTTGATCAACCAGAGTGGTAGGCAATATACCAACAAAAAAACCTACTATGTTTTGGAACCTTGCATCGTTTTTAGCTTATGTAGTGCTCACCCCCGAAGGAGCCGCTGGATGATCGGGTACTTCTGTTTCACCTCTGTGATAGACCTCAAGCAATGAATCCACAGCACACCAGCACACCTTGAGAGGATTTGTAAAGGGGTTAATGGCTGATTAATGCAGAATAATGCTATTAGTGGTTTACCAGTCACATACAATACAATCAATGACAGAACAAGACACTCTGACACCCAGTTACCGCAGCTATCTATTGCCTATACGGAAACATGTGATGCCAGACAGTCTCAGGGATAAATCTTGAGATAGATAAATTCAACAATAATATCTCCCCTGGGAAGTATCACACCCCTTCTAAACTACTGGACTGTAGTAATGTCCCAGGCTAGCCAACGTTGGGGCCCATACTGTGTAGCAGATGTGTAAAAGTACTTTGTCACACTGGCCCAGAGGCCTCTCACCACTCCCATGGTTATCTTGGTAAAGATGATGTCTTTCAGCAGCAGATGGAAGTCCCTCTTTCGTCAGAACGACACCTGGGAAGAAGGGAAGGTCATCTAGGGTTTCCTGGAACACATCACCGCTCGTCTAGGGTCATCTAGGGCCTCTGGCAACAATCTCCGCTGGTTTCGTTGGATACCGCTCACTCAGCTGGGCTGGCTAGGTCACTCCAGTGGCTGGATTTGCCGCAACGACCAGGCAGCGATCTCCCCGCCGCTGCCGCGTCACTAGGCCTCAGTTTGGGCGCTCGGTCACAGTCTCCTCATCTCACCAGACAAATCTCACAGCACTGCAGTACACAGCCTAGGTGTCCCTTGCTATCTGGGGCTATCACCCGGCTCTGTAACATGCAGCCTGGAATCACACTGTCTCACACAGATCTGCACTCTTCCGATCTCTGTCCCAGAATCAGCGTGCTCAGTAGTTGCAGCCCATAGTCCTCCTGCTTCCTCCCCCACAGCATCCTGGGAGATGCAGTTCTCAAAGTCCGTTCAGCAATGTGTCCATATCCGCTCTGTACTACATTCCCCACAAACTGTGCTCTCTGGCTCCACCTACAGCTGCAATATCCTTTCTCTTAAAGGAGCTGATACCACAACAGGGCTACACTTATATTAGTCAATAAATTGTATTACTTAAAATTGAATTTTTTTCCATTGATTGGTGGCTAACATGGTAAAACACTTTGCTATGTTTTAATTGCACTCAATATGCCTAATAGGGTTATGCTCAGGTTCAGTCTGAACCTGAGCTCATCCCTAATGTCAAACAGTAATAGAATGGAGAAACCAATGTGAAGGTAAAGACGTGTACCTTGAATGCTAACAGAGAATGCTGAAAATACATTCCTGATATGAACAAAGGGGTCGCTTGAGCTTGGGGTACATAATCGTCTTTGATCAGAATGGCTAAATAAAAAATGATGGTCAACAAAGTGTTTGCTTATGGTAAGGTTACATAGTTACCAGACCTTGTAATAACTATTTCTCATAACTTTTTTCATGGTTCCTGCATGCCTCATGCCCCAGTGTATCCTGTGAAATTTGCAGAAAGACGGGTGGGTAGGGTGGTATTTCAAGTGAAACCTCAAGCTTAAGTTGTTGTAGGAAGGGTTCAGGATGTGCACCCACTTATTATGCCTTTAAACCAATATAAATCCTTGTTATATACATTATGTAATGCTGTCTGTATTCACAGAATATTCACCTGGTAGCTAAATGGCTAAGTGTGCTAGAAAAATTATTGGAAAAGTACAGTAATGAAGGCCACCCTGATTACCGTGTCTTTATGAGTGCGGAGCCGGCCGTGACACTGAAAGAGCACATCATCCCACAAGGCATCCTGGAAAATGCAATCAAAATCACCAATGAACCTCCAACTGGAATGCTGGCTAATTTGCATGCGGCACTGGACAACTTTGATCAGGTCAGTAGCACTGTATATTGTAAATTGGAACTCTTATGTTCATTATATAGAAAAATAAGTCAGGAAACATCACCACAGCTATGCAGTAAGATGTCTGTAAAGGTTCTCATTCATCAAGTTCATGGTATATCTGTAAAAAAAATAAGTCAAGGCAACTGGACTTGCTGTATTTTTCTTGAAGATGTTTCACTGGTCTTCCAACCAGCTTTCTCAATTCAGAATGACTTGTAATGTTTTGAAACGTGAAAAATACCGCAAGTCCAGTTGCCTTGACTTATTTTTTTATAGATATGCAGTAAGATATTTTGTAGTGGCATTAAACCAGTAAATTTGACTCTGTTGCCAATGCCATATGTGGCATGACAGTTATACTACAGTATATATATTACTATATAGTACAGTATATTATACATTAGTATATAGTATATTATACATTAGTATATACTACAGATGTACACATACACCCAGCAGGAAAGGCTTTATAAGGTATATCCTAGGTCCTAAATAATTCAGGGCACAGTACAGGTATAAAAGCTTGGCAAACACAGAAAATACACTTCAAGATCAGTTGCAAAAATAGCCTGGTATTTGCCAGCACAGGGGATCACCTAACCAAAGTCCTTATGGTAGGTTAGTGAAGCACAATAAATGTTGAGTACACTGGTCCCACCATCCCACTTGAATTTTGAAACCTAGGTACAGATACCATCCAATTTTTCAAGGTCTGTCCCTGTGTTCTTCGGTACAGCACACACAAACAATTCACACTGCGCTGCAGCTATAGGAGCACTTCTGTTCCATCCTCCATATCTGCTGAGAAAGCCCATCAACCAGGTCAACCTCTGTAAAGACTGGACAGTGCTAATCCTCCCACTACTGTCACAGTGCCATTCTGACATATAGGGCCGTTGCTGCCAAAGGTCCTTCCAACTATAAAAAGGTAATAAAGAGGCAATTACCTGAAGACCCTACCCTACTACCCTCTTACAGAAATGTGGTCCTTGCTGTGGAAAGGCTTGGAGAAAACTGATCTATCCTAATGACTGAAAAGTTTTTTGACTCAAGAGTATAGGCAGGTGTGCCTATACACAGGTGCCAGAAACTGACTCACATTCAACACATATGTGATCATATACTTTAAACAATCTTCCTCCATGGGAGCTCATTGAACTGCAGTGAAAACTCACACAAATGCTGCAGTTTGAAGTCATTTTAGTATGGTGCTGAGCTTCACAGAGCACCCATGGTGGGTACTGAGCCAGAGAGTTCAATGCATTTTGCTTCCCTACCGACTGCTCCCTTTGGGGTTCATTGGTTCAGGTCATTGACCTGCATTTCAGGCATGATACAGTTGAAAACTACTTAAACTCATGTCATCAGAAGTTTATTTTTAGAGAAAAAGAGAGGGATATGGTATACGTTAACTTTATATGAAATTTTAGCTCCAGCTAAGGGCAAAAGCTATAGGAATTATTATTATTATTTTATTATCTAATTTGGTGGTTTTGAGTTTTCATCTAGAACTGAACTTCTAATGGTCTTTTTATAACTCAGTAAAGTGACACTAAATTCAGGAGTTAAATTGTATAAATGCATTTAAGTACCTTAACTATTAAGAAAAATTTTGTTTGTGTATCACTCGGCTGTAGATCTTCAAATCATCTCTGAATTGGTGCTGACACTGTCCTTCCTTCTGGAGGGTGGCTCCTTTTGTTCCCCATGGTCTCTGTATGTGTTGTAAAGTAGCCACCACTCCAAGCTCACTCCTATGATGGACTACAATCTCAATACAAATTAGTAAACTAAACGTGAGATTGTAGTCCACCACAAGAGCGAGCCACGGGGAACACAAGTAGCCACCCTACAGAAGGAAGGACAGTGTCGGCACCAATTCAGAGATGATTTCAGGATCTACAGCGGAGTGATGCACAAATAAGATACATTTCTGTTAATAGTTAAGGCACTTGAATGCATTCATAAGATTTAACTCCTGAGTTTAGTGCCACTTTAAAGGATATTGGTGGTAATATAGGACAAGCTATTATTAAGTTTATTTCTCAGTGCATAATGTATTGTAATTCTGAACTTTTACCTAACACAAATAAGGTGTTACACAAACCTGACAGCAAAGGAAAACACGCTTAATGTGCAAAATAAAAATAAATCAGTTTCATGCTCATTATTTGCTGACAAGGAGCTTCTAATATGTTCAGATAATATTCTTTTATTTTTTAGCAATGATTATCTGTTTTTAAAAACAGTGGGATCCAAACAAAACAAAACATTATTTTTTGTGTGCAGTGAATGTGCAGGACAGGTTCTTCTCACGTTCCATCATAGAATGGTTTCTTAGCATATGTTTTACAGGTCATGTAGAAAGAGACGCCACAAATGTGTACTGATGTGCTGAAGTAGATAAGAGAAGCCTGAAGCAACTTATGGTTGTCACAAATTCCAGGAAAAGTGTCAAGTTGTAATAGATCTGTCTATTTATAGAATTGACCATTCATGACATAAAGTCCCAAATGTTCTGTCTGTTATACATTTTTTTTATAGTTAATGCACTTTGTGTTTCCTAAATGAATAGGTAACAAAATCGTAAACAAATATATACTATTTCAATTCTATTAATTATTATTGATGTGAGATCTATTTTTCTTGTCTTTCATGGTCCTTGAGTCTGTACTAAGCATGATGAGTTTAGTTCCATCAGCTAAACTCCAATTCATTATTGGACATTATTTTAAAAAATATTCGAAGTTATGCACCTCCATGGACTATAAGATAATATTATTGACGTTAAGATGTATGCATCAAAAGCAAGTTTGTTGCACTTAATGCTAGCTTACTTTCTTTCATTAAAAAATCAAATGGTAAGAGAGAAAAACATCCCCTTTTGTGATCCAGGTCTGTTCCGTCTTGAACAATTTCCCATATAGATTCCTCCTATTTCCTAAATATATTATATTTGGAAAATTGCGGGAATAGCAGTGGCTTTCTATACAAGCAGTGTCACCTTCACCTACTATAACTGCTGCTTAAGAAATGCAAACTACAGACTGCCTACACATACCTAATGCATGTGTATTTTATTCCATAATTAGGGCACTTGACAGTATTACCGGTCGTTACAATTAATATCTGAATCTTTGTTCCTGGCGATTGATTTCCACTTTGGATTTAAGTGCCAGTAAATCGTATTATTGATTTGCCTTTAAAGCATGCAGAAATCTCATGCAGTATACAGCTAGTGTAGCAATCGTTTACATTCAGGCTACATTAGAATGCCGCTGGGAATTGACAGATCATTGACAGGTGTGTAAAAATGTCCCCTCCGCTGTTGTCTTGCAGAACATCCTTGACCAGTGTACACGAGAGCAAGAGTTTAAAAGCATTTTCTTTTCCTTGTGCTATTTTCATGCCTGTGTGGCTGAGCGGCGCAAATTTGGTCCCCAGGGGTGGAATAGAAAATATCCCTTTAACATCGGAGACCTCTCAATATCTGTGAATGTTCTCTACAACTATCTGGAAGCAAACTCACAGGTATGATGTCTGAACTAGAAAAGTGTATTTGTGGGTTGCCAGAACTGACTTTTTTCATGACAAATTTATAGGTATTTTTAATGTTTGTCATTACTGGGGTACAAACACATTATTTATGTTATTCTGCAGTGTGCAGATTTAACTGTGTTATTTTTTTATGACATGTTTTAGAACAATATTGTATTCTTTTTATCAAAGCAAAGTAACAAAATGACGACAAAGTGACACCATGGCACAGAAATTCTGGAACGTTTACCAACTTTAGTTTTTATGTATGATAAATAGTTAAGTCAATCTGTTTCCTTAAAAGAAGGATTCTGACGTGAAGCAGTTCACATCAGACAAAGGGGTTCATCTACTAAAGTAGAGGCTGTTCTCAGAGCAAAGTCAATGTTCACTCTATAAAGTGTTTATTCACATTGCAAAGTGAATAATAGTAAATAAAGTGAACCTGTATTAACTCTGAATAAATCATGTTAAAACAAAAAAACAAAAAAAAACAGGAATACCGTTAACACCTGATTGGATGAAGTATGCTTTACATTATATTTTTTTAACTCGGTGAACATCCACTTTGCTAAGTTAACAGTATCTGATCCATTAGTGAATGAAGCTCAATATGTTTTTATTTTAACTGCTTTGCCAAATTCAAATTTGTTTTATAATTGAATTTTAAATTCAGGGTGATCATCACCATTTTGAATAATGCTAATAAACACAGAGCAGTGTTAAGTTCTCTTGACTCTACTAAAGCCTTCTCTATGTGTCAAACCTGTAAAACAGAAAACCTCTATGCCGGGGTAGTCAACCTTGTTGCTGTGGAACTACAAGTCCCACAATGCGTTGCAAGACTCCAACAGCTGCAGGCATGACTCCCTGAGACAAGACAGGATTTGTGGTTTCACCAAAGTTGGATTGCTGAGATTGCCTACCTTTGTTCAATGCTAATGCCATTTGTTGCTAATTTCTCTACAGCATGAATAAAAAAAGTAAAAGGCTATTTATACATGGCCCTATAAAGCTTTAAAGGAGACCTGTGCTTGGATCTGAAATGCTTTGTGAATAATTGACATTAGAACAAGTATGTGGGTCAAAAGTTGCATACAGTGAAATCACAGGCTCAGCATGGCTGCCAGGCCACCAGCATTTTGAGAAAGCAGCCAGAAATGGAAGCCCTGCATTTCTCACAGTTTCTTTTAAATGCAATCCATTTTATGTAGAAAAATACACACGTGGATGGGATAAATATTTGTATGCCAAGATAACGGAAGAATTGGAATTAAATTAAATGAAAGCTGGAATGGAATGTGAATTGCTATGGACAACATTTTTAACAGAATGTTTAGTCTAACCCACACAGGATTGAATTTACTGCCAAACAACTGCAGACATTCATATTGGGCTGACTTACTTAAGGAATAGAGAATATTCACTCCTCTTATTGAATAAGGTGAAGCTGACATTTCAGCCTCCCAATCATTTAGACACAAAATATTGTGCTTTTCTTATTTCCGCTGCACAGTTCAGTTGATCAGTGTGAACAAGGCTTCATCTATTTCATTAACCGAAGTGGATATTGTCTACTTCTTTAGTAAATCAGACATATAAGGTGCATATGTGACAAACTGTGACATGTTATATTCCATGTTAACTGTGACATGGGGACATGGGAGGTTATGCTCCAACAGAGTAAAAACCCTGAGCAGTTACTTTGCTGAGTGTTCATATGTTGCGGCACAATTGCCAACAAAACTGCCGCAATTTCGATTCTACTCCTCTGTGTAGTGTAAACCATTTTTGCTAAGTGCTGTGTTTTAACCCCTCTGCACTTTACAATGATGGTCTCTGTGTTCTGCAATAATAACATAAGTTCTGCTTTAACTTGATTTGACTAAAATCTTCACCAAGTTATGATCACATCAACACTTGCAGAATCCTTATAGGAAACAAGCAGTTTTGGCCACGGGATAACAGTATGGCTTTGCTTTCAGGTGCCCTGGGAAGACCTCCGCTACTTATTTGGTGAGATAATGTATGGTGGTCACATCACTGATGACTGGGACAGACGACTGTGCCGTACATACTTAGAGGAGTACATGCAGCCCAATCAGGTACCTATGATTAAAATGCAGAGTTAGAGCTCCCTCTTCTGGGCTTTAAACCTTTGAAATCCTTTTTACAAAACATAAAACCTTTAAAGGAGCAGCAGTATTACATTTGCATTACAAACACAGATGCACACAGATATACTGTATATGTATTTATAAAATAACACATACTGTCGCACTGTACGGATTTATGTGCATAATTGTGAATTTATTACAAAAAAGTCAAAGCATAATATGTTTGCTTTGACCTGTTCAACAACCTTTACTGAAAGTTTCCTGCATTGTTGTTATGCTAAAATCTGGAGAAATGTGTTGTGATTACAATGATATGTATATTAACAATATTTCCAGTGTCCATAACATATAAATGTGAATGTATGTCTAATAGTCTAATATTGTGAGTTTATAATCCTGGTTTGTTACATATACCTGAACACACACAAATATAAACATTCACATGCCAGATCATAAAATGTTTCAAGAAAAGGTGCATCATTAATTCTGTTTTCAATAATATCTTATACAGTCCAGCATTACATAATTGTAAGATTGTGGCCATTTGCTAACATTCTCCATATTTTCATAATAATTTAAATCATTTATTTAATTAATGGATTTATATTTCTATAGCTGTGCCCCTTCTTATATGGCATTTCACTGGTCACACTGCCACTGCCTTTATGAAAAAGGTTTACATTTGACAATAAGCCACACCATAGCGATGCGTTAATCTCATAAATACCGTGTGATCGCTATCGCACAGCACACCTAGTGTGAGTTACCATGTGCTAGGTGTAATGCATTCCCATTCATTTGAATGGCACCCAAATGCACCTCCCAGCAGGTGTGTGTTGCAATAAATGGCAACGCAATACACCTAATGCAAATTAGATGTGCTGTGCAATAGTGTGTGTTAACAGCACGGTATAGAACGCTAGGTGCACTGTGCAATATTGTGTGTTAGTAACATGGTATAGCACGCTAGGTGTATTGTGCATTAGCATGCCTAAAGGGTTATTAAACCCTCATTTGTTTTTGCATGTATCTACTGCTAGCAAGCAGTAGATATATGCAAAATGATTTATTTTTTAAAAACTTTTTCAAAGGGTTAATACTTACCCGTGTCTCCGCCATGCGCTCCCGTCCAAACATCTGAAAATTTCTCGGGCGGCCGCAAAGGATCTTGGGGCGGGCGCATGCGCAGTTCAGATGTTCGGCCGGGAGATGAGGAGAGACACAAGGTAAGACTATGGAGCAGCGTGCACCCGCACAGACAGAGTGGGACATGAGAGAAGAGGAGGACAGAGGAGTCGGCGCTGGATCAGAGACCCGCACCTGCGCTGGAAGGACAGCTAAACACTGTAGAAAAGAAGATCGGATTAAGAGGCATCATTTAAGGTAAGTCCTTACATTAGCACTGGGGGGGGTGATTTTGCCCTTAATGTCACTTTAATAGCATGGTAGAGCATGATTGCTGCATTGTGCAATAGCATGCGTTAATAGCACAGTATAGCATGCGAGGTGCATTATTCAATAGTGTATGTTAATAGCACGGTATACCACACTAGGTGCATTGTGCATTAGCATGCCTTAAAAGCACAATATAGCATGCTAGGTGCACTGTGCAATAGCGTGCATTAATTGCACAGTATAGCATGCGAGGAGCATTGTGCAATAGTGTGCGTTAATAGCACGGTATAGCACGCTAGGTGCATTGTGTCAATGGCATGGTATAACGTGCATTATTATAACGGTATATCACTATAGGTGCATTGTGCAATAGCATGCGTCATTAGCATAGCATATAGCATGCTTTGTTGCATTGTGTTAATGGCACGATAGAGCACATTAAATGCATTGTGCAGTAGCGTGCGTTAGTAGCACAATATAGCATTCTAGGTACGGTATGCAATAGCATGCATTAATAGCACGGTATCGTTCAATTAACACAGTGCTATGGTGTGAACGGGCCCTGAAGCTGAACTCCAGGCAAGCAGCTAAATACACAGAAGAAATACATATATGGGAGCTGTTTTACCTGCCAACAGATTCCTATTTATGTCCAACCAGTCCATTGATTTACACAGCTCTGCCACACAGCACAGTCCTGTCTGGCAGAAGAGGGGACTGTATTTTTCTCTGCAGCTCACTTGCAGGTCTCCTCCTCACCTTCACCCTGTAAATGGTCAGTGAAAAGAGAAGCAGCACACTGATTTGCTCATCTGTCTATCACTCTCCTCTCTTTTCCTATCAGCATGGCCCTTGCACTGCAGCACAATTGGCTCCTTGTGCTGTTTCTGCTTACCCCTCTCTGGGCTCTGTGGTATAGTAGACTGCACGAGTCTGATACCAGGTTAAATTCAGATATTTACACTGCTTGCATTGAACTGAATACATTTAATTATGCGATAATGACGTAGTTGAATTATTTGTGCCTTTTATCTTTGTGGCATTCAGCTATAATTTCAGGAATGCATTGCTACATTACCTGTCAGTTGTACACATGTACAGTCATACGCCAATTCATAAAATGTGCTAACGAAACCAATCTGATATTTATTCAGAATCTTTATGCAGAATTGTAAATTAAATATTAAAAAAAAAAAAATCCTAGAAACAAAAAAAAAGCAAATTCTTGGAGCTAGGAGGTCAAAAAATAATTACACAGCTATTAGAGAAAACATGAAATTGATTCAGCATGTCTGAAAGCTTGCTAACAAGAATGGAACTACGCCAACACTATATAAACCTTCATGCAAAGATCTGAAAAGCAGAACATTAAGAAATCATTTCGTAAACTAAGCCCTTGTCTTCTCCTTGTCTTTTCCTGACTTGTCCGCTATTGCGAGCATCAGACTTTTTAAGTTTATCGTTAAACGAGTGCATTGAGCACAGAGATGCTGAGAAGCTGAACTGTGTAAATAACTACGCCCATGATGCAATTAAACTAAATGACAATCATATTGCTGGGACAATCAAAGCTCTATGTGGCATGTTTAATTGTAAGGCAAACATATCCGTGATGGGACAAAAAACGATGGTGTGTTAACCTTCCTCATTATCGACACTTCCTGCTCAGTATTGTGTCAGCGACATCTTGGAGGGATAATCACACTGTACACATGCAATCATCGCGGGAGAGGAGATTTCCATTGAAATGAACATTGTCAGACTCATTTCACCATTGCAAAAAAGACATTGTACAATGTTAAGAGTGTTTAGAGCTAACAGAGGAAGGGTATTCATAAATACATAGGAGCTGATTTACTAAAGGAATAATTCTCACCCTGGCTTGTGTTCATTTCAAATACCCATTCAGGTTCTGGAGAAATTTAATTTCATGTTTTTTTTCTAATCTCTTGGACTTGAAATGAAGATATCCTACAGTGAAAAAAGGCTCCTGTAGTAAATCAGGGGCATTGTGTGTAGTTTATTCAGAGAATGACAGAATAATCAATAGGTTAGAGGTCAACAACAAATCATAATTTCAGAATCATGAAAATAGCTTTTCTTATTTATATACAGGACATGTCTGAGCAAGGCTAGGCTGGCTCTGAATCATTTGGTTAGATGTGGCAAAAGATCTGACAACTTTTCCTGTTTTGCTATGATCACCATATATGTTTAATCTTAAAACAGAATAACCAGCCAGTTTATGGCGAGGTTGGCTATTTAAGGAATAAAACTCTACTAAAACACTGTTAAAGCCTAACTCTGCCAGTGCTGGCGCTGCCACTCTGCGGTTGGTTCCTTGTATCATATCCTGTGGACCTGCTCTGGCATCTCACCCTTTTGGGGGGGAAATTAATGCTTTCCTTCATAAATTGACTTCAGCATCCCTCTTATTGGAACCATTAACACATCTTCTAGGTCTTCTAGTTTGGGGTATAGAGAAGAACCTGAGAAAGCTGGTGAATCATATCCTCACAGCTGATTACTGCTAGGTGGAAACAGACTTCTTATCAGCTCTTAGCACAGAGGCAAGGAGGTCAGGTTGATGGAACATCTTATGGCCATAATGGGCAATAGGTAGGATAAATACAATGCTATTTGAGACACGTGGGACTTCTATCTGCTCCAGTATGCCTGTTAACCCCCTTTTCAGCAGACTTTTAGCAATGCATTCTCCCTTTGTTCCTGTGTTCTGTTTAATTTTTCTGTCTATGGGGGTCTATTCACGAAGCAGCCGAAGGATCTAGCCGTAGCTTCGTCCCCAGGACCCCTTCGGTTCAGTAGAACCGAAGGGCTGCTGTACGGGCTATTCACTATAGCCCATACAGCTCCCGAACTTGGCCAAGCGGCTCAGTCGAGCCGAACGCATATGCCTGGGCGTGATCTTACGGCTGGCTCCGGCCACTTACAGAGAGATCAGCGTCCCTGGTTACCAGCTAACCAGGGACTCTGATCTCCAGACAGTAAACTCTCCCTGGCGCTCCAGGAGTCTCCTGCTCCCGGCCGCCATGGAGAGAAACACTGTTTTTTCTTGTTTTTTCTTATTCTGACACGGAGCCGTGTCAGAATAGGAAAAAACTAATTTTTGGCCATAGGAATGCATTGCTAGATTCCTATTGGCTCTTTCAATTTGCAATAGCCAATAGCAAACTAGCATTGCACCCGTCCTCTGCTGCAGTTCTCCATCAGGTCCACTACTGATTGACAGCAGCAGAGGGCGGGTACAATGCTAGTTTGCTATTGGCTATTGCAAATTGAAATAGCCAATAGGAATCTAGCAGTGCATTCCTATGGCCAAATTTTTTTTTAAATTTTTTTCTATTCTGACACAGCTCCGTGTCAGAATGAGAGAAAAAAAAGAAAAAGCAGTGTTGCTCTCCTTGGCGGCCGGGACTGGGAGACTCCCGGAGCGCCCGGGAGAGTTAGGCTTTTTTTTTTTGCTTTTTTTTGACAGCAGCAGAACCGCCAGCCAATAGAAAACTTTTGGGCGGAGCTAGCTGTCCTTGCTAGCTCCGCACAATCGTTTTCTATTTTTATTTTTCTACTTTTTTAACTGTTTTTCTGTTCTGCTCGGTCCCACAGAGAGACTGAGCAGAACAGCCGAGCCGAACTCCTTCTGCACTTCGGGTCGACCTGAAGCCACGCAAAGCCACCTGATGTACGACTGATTTCAGCCGATATATGGCTGAAATCAGCCGTACCAGCCTGAAGTGAATAGCCGAACAGCTTTAGTGAATAGACCCCGATGTCTTTTCTTTTTCTACTCTTTGTGGATCTTGTCCACATGGGCTGTGCTGCTGCCTGTTTCTGCGGCCCCTGGATTCTAACTCTATACAACCAATTATGTCCTTGCCATAATTAACTTGATAACCGAAAACGCCAATGGCATTGACAAATGATTGGACTCTGCTACAGATTTTGCATAGAGATTGGAGATCTTGTTTTCTTATTCCCTCCTCGAGGGCTTTCTAGTTGATTCTTGTACTGCTTGTGGGCTATCTTCTATGTCTTTCTACGTCCTTGTTATATGAAAACTTTAAATAAACAATTGTTAAACCAAAAAAAAGCCCAACTCTGGGCAATAAACTGATTATAAAAAAAGGTCACTGACCTCCTTCCCCCAAGACTAAAAAATAAGCTACTGCTTATTTTTTATAGGGGATGGATAACATAGAGTAATACTAACCTTCATGCACAATCTCTCATTCCTCCTCCTCACCTGCTCCAGTTGTGATAGCTGAAGCTGCTCTTCTTGCTGGTCCTTGACTGGTCTTGTCGCTGCCCCCCTCGCTGATGTCATCATATCAGTACGTTAATCAGGGCAGGAGCAGCAGCCACATCATCATTATGGGATGTGACAGCTCAAGGAGTGGCTACCCACATTCAAACACTGGAGAGAAGAGCACAGGACCGCTGGTTGTTGCAGGGCTATGCGGTATGGTGAGTATTAGTGTTTTATTTCATACCCTAGAAAAAACACGAGTATTAGATCCTCCTTCACCAGGAGGGAGGAGTCCTTTTTTATTATGACTTTTCTGCCTGCAGTTAGACTTTACTTACTCTTTTCTTAAAACAGAATGTATTCATATGTCATTACTTCAATACAAAACAAAACAAAAGCCAAGTGGTGTATTCCTCATTTTAGGATGGTAGACATATCTTAGGTTACATTCACATGGGGCTATTATGTGTGGCTGGGGATGCCTGCAGCAAGAACCTATGGATTCTTGCAGCAGGAATCTCAGGTGTGTCTGTACAGATGCAGCCGCTGTGCCCATTCATGTTAATGACAGCCTGGCAGTGGCCATATCTGTCAGTGGCAGTACGCATGTATTTGTACATGGAACAATTACCTGTAGTCTGGCTAGCTAATTGTCCTTGTTCACAATCCGTCTGTGTCCATGGACAAACATCTATCCCGAATCGCTCAGTGATAACTGAATTATTTTTCTGGTAGCTATTTAGCAGAATGAGAAGTACAGGATAAATGGAAATCAATGTTAGGATCAGTCACGTAGTCGGATACCATAGTGCTGTGGGCCCATTTATGACAGAGGGAGGATATTACTATCTGCTCATTACCATACTCCGCAGAGATACTCCACATTATGTCTTTGTTGATGATGGACAATCTGCCTGAGTATGGCAGGTCTTAGGCAAAGCTTACATTACCCATTTTACATTGGCACAGTCAGGATTTGCATAATGCTGCCCATAAATGGCCGGCTGCCGCCCCGATCTAATGCTAGGTATGACACTAAGGATCGGGCTATTTTTGGGTACACAATAGATGGCAGAAATGATCAGCATTTATTTTCATTAACAGGAATTTTTAAAATGTCTTAAAAGAGGGATGCAGAGAACTGGAAGTATCAGACATGCTGGAATAACTCTTGTGAGTGTTGCTGTGGGAGGGGGCAGTGTGGTTCTTTGGAACTAAACACAATGATACTAGTTCAAGTACCTATCTGAGTAAAATCATTATGAGGTTTTATACATTCTAAACAAGTTTATAACTGTGTATATGTTTAGAACACAAATAGTGTTCAATAGAAACCTACTTTATATCCTCAAAACCTAATAAAATCTAAGCAATATAAATGATATCCCAATTATATATAGTCCCACCTTTGCCACTGTTGGAGATACATCCCTTCGCTCCTGCTGTGGCACTGGGACAGGAAGTGAGGGAAAATGTCTTCATTGGGAACACAGAAAGCAGTAAAATATGCACAGATACACCTGTCAGGTTCTTTGCTGTCTTGTTCCTAGCGTGGTGGTTTCCTCTCATTTCCTGTCCTAGTAAAGTTTTATTACAACAGGGGCACAGAGAGCAATAACAGTTTGATAAAAGTTATAATTATTCCCTACTTTATTCAAATAAAAAAAACTATTTGGCTGGGGTTCTATTTTAAAGGATAGCTAACCCAATAAAAAAAGGTATTATATTGGAGCTTACCAGTGCAGAAACATTTTCAGCAAGTACAGAAAATACCTGTTTAGCTTACCAAAAATGCTGTGCCCTTGTCACTTCCTCTAAGCTGAACTGAAATCACAAAGAATCTTCCTTCTGTAAACTATTAATTACCACACCCCATGTAATGAAGATGAAGAGAGGAAGCCCAAATCAGGAGACCAGCATAGTGTGACAACCATGGCTCCCTCCATAGATGCAGTAGTGTGAGTAAGCATAGCCACACTAGGAATGAAATTATGTTGTTTGCAGGATTACCAGGTGAAAATAAAGGAGAAAAGGCCTACAAAAAGAAAAGGAATGCAGCCAGCTATGTTATATGACGTTTGGTTTTGGGTTTAGATACGCTTTAATTAGGGATGCACCAATACCAAGTATCATACTTGGTACAAGTACAAGTACAGATACTTTTCGAGCGCCAAGACTAGACTAGAGAAAAATTCAAAAGTTAGGAGGCAGCTGTCATTTGTAAGGAGCACACGGAGCTCCTGGGATTTATACATCTCTGTTTTAATGCATGATTATTATTATTATATAGTTTATAAATAAAGAGATGCACCGATACCAGTTTTGAAAGTACAAGTACCGATACATTTTTGTTTATTGTCATGTGACAGTTTTTCTAAAACAATACAGACTAATGATTTCAGGACAGTGGTGGAGCACCAGAGCCAGGTCCCAGCTACAACCACTACAACCCTGGTAGTTCTTATGAAAATGTCAAGTATCGGCACCGGTATCTGAACTGGTATCGGTGCATCCCTAGCTTTAATTAAACAATGGTTCTTAGACATTTGATTGTTGATTTACTAAAGGCAAACACTTCAAGGGCATTTCCCTTAGCTTAGTGATGGTGCTGAAAATTCTCTTTGTAAAGAATACCCAATCACATGCAAGGAAAATTTAAAAAAAAAAAAAAAGAATTTCTTGCACATGATTGGATGATGGAAGTCAGCAGACCTTCACTTCATTCACTAAGCTAGGGGAAAATTCCTTTGCAAAGTGCATAGATTTTTGCCCTTTAGTAAATCAACCCCCTGGCTGATTTACTTTGGTACATTACCCCTCGGTACATTGGTACATTACCATCAGCTCCAGAGTTCAGGTCCCAGTCTGTGTACATAAGAAGAATACATGAAAAATGTTTGTAAATGTAATCTTTGAATATGATCCTGAAACATAGTTGCTTAGTCTATCAATAGGAAATGTACATACATACAACCTGCTACCATGCCTGCAGCTGAACATCCATATCCTACAGCAATTTTATCTCTTGATGAGATTTAGAACGCCACATCAACTGGCCCCTTGTGTTGCATGATATCATTCTAGCCTCATATTTTAAGCCTTAAAATACTTGACCCTTAATATTATTCACGCTGTAAGTTAGTCATACTTGCCGCACGGAGCAGTAGAAGCAGCATGCATTGAGCCAGACATTCTCTTGATCTCTTGGAACAATGACTGAAAAGAATTGCAGAGACAAGAGAATTAAGGACGGAGTTCCCGCTGGTGAAAGTGCAGGAAACCTGGATCTGTAGCCACCCGCCAAGAAGGATTATTTCTTTTTTCTGTCATATTCAATGAAACTCCTTTATAGCACAAATCTACGGGTCCCTAGTGTACAGGGACAGGGAGGAAGGGGGGAGAAAAACAAATAAGGAAAATAAAAGGATTGCAAGAAACGGATGTGTTAGTACAGGGATTCTGTCATAACAGCTTGGACGATTTTCGTGAAATAATGTCATTGATGGTCAATTTGCTGAAATGTCTACCAATATCCCCATGAGATTCATTGTGAAATATATTTCTTGTCATGATGATTACATCCAACATTCTTTTTTTTTTTTCCTCTAGTTTGATAGGAAGCTTGCCTTGGCGCCTGGATTTGTGATACCCTCTAACCTTGATTATGAAGGCTACCATAGATACATTGATGAGATGTTGCCACCTGAGAGCCCCATCCATTACGGCCTCCACCCCAATGCAGAGATTGAATTCTTAACTGTGACTTCAGACAATCTTTTCCGCACCTTGTTAGAATTGCAGTCACGGGATTCTATAGGCAGGGAAGGAGCGCCTCAGACAGAGGAGGAAAAGGTTAGTCAGATGAAGCTTGTACATCATTGTATTCTGTGCGTGTTCCCTGCAGTGCCAGGTTTCAGCGTACTTGATCTTTACATATGACATGGTATTTTAGTTCAGCTTACATCTGTAATATTTGTTGTGAAGGCTATTTTCACGGCTATTAGGGTACTTCAGCTTATTCCTGTGCTGTGATTATGCCTCAATTCTAGCAAATATAGCATGAAACAAATATTAAATAAAAGGGATTTCCAAAATAAAATGGAAATCCTTTGAAATTCTACCTCACAAAGGGCACAAAAACAGCACATGCTCTCCTTGGCGGCCGGGACTGGGAGACTCCCGGAGCGCCCGGGAGAGTTAGGCTTTTTTTTTTTGCTTTTTTTTGACAGCAGCAGAACCGCCAGCCAATAGAAAACTTTTGGGCGGAGCTAGCTGTCCTTGCTAGCTCCGCACAATCGTTTTCTATTTTTATTTTTCTACTTTTTTAACTGTTTTTCTGTTCTGCTCGGTCCCACAGAGAGACTGAGCAGAACAGCCGAGCCGAACTCCTTCTGCACTTCGGGTCGACCTGAAGCCACGCAAAGCCACCTGATGTACGACTGATTTCAGCCGATATATGGCTGAAATCAGCCGTACCAGCCTGAAGTGAATAGCCGAACAGCTTTAGTGAATAGACCCCGATGTCTTTTCTTTTTCTACTCTTTGTGGATCTTGTCCACATGGGCTGTGCTGCTGCCTGTTTCTGCGGCCCCTGGATTCTAACTCTATACAACCAATTATGTCCTTGCCATAATTAACTTGATAACCGAAAACGCCAATGGCATTGACAAATGATTGGACTCTGCTACAGATTTTGCATAGAGATTGGAGATCTTGTTTTCTTATTCCCTCCTCGAGGGCTTTCTAGTTGATTCTTGTACTGCTTGTGGGCTATCTTCTATGTCTTTCTACGTCCTTGTTATATGAAAACTTTAAATAAACAATTGTTAAACCAAAAAAAAGCCCAACTCTGGGCAATAAACTGATTATAAAAAAAGGTCACTGACCTCCTTCCCCCAAGACTAAAAAATAAGCTACTGCTTATTTTTTATAGGGGATGGATAACATAGAGTAATACTAACCTTCATGCACAATCTCTCATTCCTCCTCCTCACCTGCTCCAGTTGTGATAGCTGAAGCTGCTCTTCTTGCTGGTCCTTGACTGGTCTTGTCGCTGCCCCCCTCGCTGATGTCATCATATCAGTACGTTAATCAGGGCAGGAGCAGCAGCCACATCATCATTATGGGATGTGACAGCTCAAGGAGTGGCTACCCACATTCAAACACTGGAGAGAAGAGCACAGGACCGCTGGTTGTTGCAGGGCTATGCGGTATGGTGAGTATTAGTGTTTTATTTCATACCCTAGAAAAAACACGAGTATTAGATCCTCCTTCACCAGGAGGGAGGAGTCCTTTTTTATTATGACTTTTCTGCCTGCAGTTAGACTTTACTTACTCTTTTCTTAAAACAGAATGTATTCATATGTCATTACTTCAATACAAAACAAAACAAAAGCCAAGTGGTGTATTCCTCATTTTAGGATGGTAGACATATCTTAGGTTACATTCACATGGGGCTATTATGTGTGGCTGGGGATGCCTGCAGCAAGAACCTATGGATTCTTGCAGCAGGAATCTCAGGTGTGTCTGTACAGATGCAGCCGCTGTGCCCATTCATGTTAATGACAGCCTGGCAGTGGCCATATCTGTCAGTGGCAGTACGCATGTATTTGTACATGGAACAATTACCTGTAGTCTGGCTAGCTAATTGTCCTTGTTCACAATCCGTCTGTGTCCATGGACAAACATCTATCCCGAATCGCTCAGTGATAACTGAATTATTTTTCTGGTAGCTATTTAGCAGAATGAGAAGTACAGGATAAATGGAAATCAATGTTAGGATCAGTCACGTAGTCGGATACCATAGTGCTGTGGGCCCATTTATGACAGAGGGAGGATATTACTATCTGCTCATTACCATACTCCGCAGAGATACTCCACATTATGTCTTTGTTGATGATGGACAATCTGCCTGAGTATGGCAGGTCTTAGGCAAAGCTTACATTACCCATTTTACATTGGCACAGTCAGGATTTGCATAATGCTGCCCATAAATGGCCGGCTGCCGCCCCGATCTAATGCTAGGTATGACACTAAGGATCGGGCTATTTTTGGGTACACAATAGATGGCAGAAATGATCAGCATTTATTTTCATTAACAGGAATTTTTAAAATGTCTTAAAAGAGGGATGCAGAGAACTGGAAGTATCAGACATGCTGGAATAACTCTTGTGAGTGTTGCTGTGGGAGGGGGCAGTGTGGTTCTTTGGAACTAAACACAATGATACTAGTTCAAGTACCTATCTGAGTAAAATCATTATGAGGTTTTATACATTCTAAACAAGTTTATAACTGTGTATATGTTTAGAACACAAATAGTGTTCAATAGAAACCTACTTTATATCCTCAAAACCTAATAAAATCTAAGCAATATAAATGATATCCCAATTATATATAGTCCCACCTTTGCCACTGTTGGAGATACATCCCTTCGCTCCTGCTGTGGCACTGGGACAGGAAGTGAGGGAAAATGTCTTCATTGGGAACACAGAAAGCAGTAAAATATGCACAGATACACCTGTCAGGTTCTTTGCTGTCTTGTTCCTAGCGTGGTGGTTTCCTCTCATTTCCTGTCCTAGTAAAGTTTTATTACAACAGGGGCACAGAGAGCAATAACAGTTTGATAAAAGTTATAATTATTCCCTACTTTATTCAAATAAAAAAAACTATTTGGCTGGGGTTCTATTTTAAAGGATAGCTAACCCAATAAAAAAAGGTATTATATTGGAGCTTACCAGTGCAGAAACATTTTCAGCAAGTACAGAAAATACCTGTTTAGCTTACCAAAAATGCTGTGCCCTTGTCACTTCCTCTAAGCTGAACTGAAATCACAAAGAATCTTCCTTCTGTAAACTATTAATTACCACACCCCATGTAATGAAGATGAAGAGAGGAAGCCCAAATCAGGAGACCAGCATAGTGTGACAACCATGGCTCCCTCCATAGATGCAGTAGTGTGAGTAAGCATAGCCACACTAGGAATGAAATTATGTTGTTTGCAGGATTACCAGGTGAAAATAAAGGAGAAAAGGCCTACAAAAAGAAAAGGAATGCAGCCAGCTATGTTATATGACGTTTGGTTTTGGGTTTAGATACGCTTTAATTAGGGATGCACCAATACCAAGTATCATACTTGGTACAAGTACAAGTACAGATACTTTTCGAGCGCCAAGACTAGACTAGAGAAAAATTCAAAAGTTAGGAGGCAGCTGTCATTTGTAAGGAGCACACGGAGCTCCTGGGATTTATACATCTCTGTTTTAATGCATGATTATTATTATTATATAGTTTATAAATAAAGAGATGCACCGATACCAGTTTTGAAAGTACAAGTACCGATACATTTTTGTTTATTGTCATGTGACAGTTTTTCTAAAACAATACAGACTAATGATTTCAGGACAGTGGTGGAGCACCAGAGCCAGGTCCCAGCTACAACCACTACAACCCTGGTAGTTCTTATGAAAATGTCAAGTATCGGCACCGGTATCTGAACTGGTATCGGTGCATCCCTAGCTTTAATTAAACAATGGTTCTTAGACATTTGATTGTTGATTTACTAAAGGCAAACACTTCAAGGGCATTTCCCTTAGCTTAGTGATGGTGCTGAAAATTCTCTTTGTAAAGAATACCCAATCACATGCAAGGAAAATTTAAAAAAAAAAAAAAAGAATTTCTTGCACATGATTGGATGATGGAAGTCAGCAGACCTTCACTTCATTCACTAAGCTAGGGGAAAATTCCTTTGCAAAGTGCATAGATTTTTGCCCTTTAGTAAATCAACCCCCTGGCTGATTTACTTTGGTACATTACCCCTCGGTACATTGGTACATTACCATCAGCTCCAGAGTTCAGGTCCCAGTCTGTGTACATAAGAAGAATACATGAAAAATGTTTGTAAATGTAATCTTTGAATATGATCCTGAAACATAGTTGCTTAGTCTATCAATAGGAAATGTACATACATACAACCTGCTACCATGCCTGCAGCTGAACATCCATATCCTACAGCAATTTTATCTCTTGATGAGATTTAGAACGCCACATCAACTGGCCCCTTGTGTTGCATGATATCATTCTAGCCTCATATTTTAAGCCTTAAAATACTTGACCCTTAATATTATTCACGCTGTAAGTTAGTCATACTTGCCGCACGGAGCAGTAGAAGCAGCATGCATTGAGCCAGACATTCTCTTGATCTCTTGGAACAATGACTGAAAAGAATTGCAGAGACAAGAGAATTAAGGACGGAGTTCCCGCTGGTGAAAGTGCAGGAAACCTGGATCTGTAGCCACCCGCCAAGAAGGATTATTTCTTTTTTCTGTCATATTCAATGAAACTCCTTTATAGCACAAATCTACGGGTCCCTAGTGTACAGGGACAGGGAGGAAGGGGGGAGAAAAACAAATAAGGAAAATAAAAGGATTGCAAGAAACGGATGTGTTAGTACAGGGATTCTGTCATAACAGCTTGGACGATTTTCGTGAAATAATGTCATTGATGGTCAATTTGCTGAAATGTCTACCAATATCCCCATGAGATTCATTGTGAAATATATTTCTTGTCATGATGATTACATCCAACATTCTTTTTTTTTTTTCCTCTAGTTTGATAGGAAGCTTGCCTTGGCGCCTGGATTTGTGATACCCTCTAACCTTGATTATGAAGGCTACCATAGATACATTGATGAGATGTTGCCACCTGAGAGCCCCATCCATTACGGCCTCCACCCCAATGCAGAGATTGAATTCTTAACTGTGACTTCAGACAATCTTTTCCGCACCTTGTTAGAATTGCAGTCACGGGATTCTATAGGCAGGGAAGGAGCGCCTCAGACAGAGGAGGAAAAGGTTAGTCAGATGAAGCTTGTACATCATTGTATTCTGTGCGTGTTCCCTGCAGTGCCAGGTTTCAGCGTACTTGATCTTTACATATGACATGGTATTTTAGTTCAGCTTACATCTGTAATATTTGTTGTGAAGGCTATTTTCACGGCTATTAGGGTACTTCAGCTTATTCCTGTGCTGTGATTATGCCTCAATTCTAGCAAATATAGCATGAAACAAATATTAAATAAAAGGGATTTCCAAAATAAAATGGAAATCCTTTGAAATTCTACCTCACAAAGGGCACAAAAACAGCACTTAAATCCCCATGCTGTTGTTACCTACATCAGCTAGCATACTGGGTTTTTAAAAAAAAAACAGGTAAGTAAAATAGGGTGGTTGTAATACCAGAAAGAATCAGGCCAATAAAGTTATGTTGCAAGAAAACAGCAAGTGTTGAATACCATACTGTAGTTTGGTTTACAACGTTCCCCCAGTAACTTAGGACAACCATTCTGTGTGAGAGCAGTGGTTCCATACAGTTGTCCAACACCCCCTACCTAAGTGTTGCTGACTATACCGCTGTAGCGATAACAAGGTTCAGCTCACTGGTCACTGATTAGCTCTGAGCAAGTGTAAGAGCTGACTAGCTTCACTTGGAGCTAACACACTGTTTCTTCCTTGGCTGCCAATGGCTGAATGGAGCCGTGCTGGAGTCAAGGAAAATAAGTTACCGGTATGTGCAGCTTGATAGTGGCCAAGTGACACGTACCTTGTTTGCCCGTGCATGCATCTTTCAGCCTGAAGCACACAAACCTTACAGGCACTAAACTACTTCTTTAACCACTTTTCACTTGATGTTATCTATGGATTGTTTATGCTTGCTAATATTAAACTTTGATAATTTGGTATGTTTTAATTCCTCATCATGATTTAGCGATAGGAGCTCTTTTTTTTTCATTTTGACACAGCACAATGTGACTTATTATCACCTGAAACCATGACAATAGACACTGCCAGCATCAGTGGCGTCACAAGGGGGGTGCGGCCTGCACCCGGGTGACACCATTGGACGGGTGGCACCAAAATGACTGGCAGTCATTTTGGTGCCACCCACTCTAAAAAGTCGGGCACTCGGTCATGGACAGTGTCAGGAGAGAGGAGGGGAACCAGCGGCATACCTCATCCTGCCGGGTGAATGGCCCCTCCTCTCTCTGCCGGCGACCATCACTAAGATGGCCGCTGGCAGGCATCAATAAGATGACCGCTCGTGCGCGATGACGTAACGGTGGGGTGTCACCCGGTCTCCGCCAAGGGACGTTGAACCCCTTGACTTGCTACACATGCTGAACCATGTGTCCAAAAGAACTCGGGGCATAAATGTTCTTAACCCTTGCAATGGGGCTACCTTCACACTGCAAGGGTTAAATGCTTGTTTTTGTCTGAGGACGAAAATAATAAAGTTATATTCACCTGAACCTCACAGCCGACTTGCTGTTAGACCGGTCCCTGGAGCTTCTCTAACAGGTCTAAGGTCCTGTGAGTCATCACGTCCTATACAGTGTATAGAATGTGAGGACATCCAGGGACATTCCATCATAGAGGATCATAGGGGATGTGAGGCTGCAGGGACCAGTCAGCCAGCCAGCTATGAGGTTACATAGTATTTGAGGTTGAATAAAGACATTAGTCCATCAAGTCCAACCTAAATGAGTATATCTTTGTTATTTTCGTCCCTAGACAAAAACCCTTGCAGTCCCAGGGTAGATCCACAGCAAGGGTTAAGAATATTTATGCCCGGAGTCTATAAAATAAAACAAAATCCTTTCAAGTCTTATGACTGATATTTTAATCTACACCAAGCATTACACCAGCAAACCTTGAATGGCTAAATGTTAAATCTCTCAAAGGGTAACATCATCTCAGACCCTTACGTATCAAAGACAAGTCATTAAATTGGAGAGTTTAATGAGGAGTATGGTTGTGATCTAAGGATGGATGTCTTTCCTGTGGAAGAATTCATTAACCTGTTTACATGATTCTTTATGTAGTGCGTTCCCTTTTCAGATCCCACAGTCACTGTGCTAAATTGACTGTACAGAGCTTCAGTTTTATTTATATATTTTTAATACCTTCAGATTCTGAGTCAGTGATGCAGACAAAGGCTGCTGTTATATGTAAGAAATAAAAGGCTCACAGTTTTCACTAAGCCCACCAGGGAATTCAAGTGCTAGAATAAACTAATACGTATCCAGGTTTACTTCAACCGTCCTCCCTAGAGTCCCAACCTCTTCTGTTCCTGCAGATAACCTCTACAGCTTCCACTCATTATAAGTGAGGCTGTTCTACAGTGCTATCTATCCCATTAAAATGCAGTTATGTGTGTATGCAGGCACAAACAACCATATCATGGAAAACAAATCTGCATAGACGTAACAACATTATATACCTGTCTTTTGTTTCTTACAGCAAAGTAAACACATTGGCGGGGATGAGCTTTTGCCATAATCTGCAAGTATGAAGAACACACAATTAGGGTGGTCATGGGGCTCCGTGGGGCTTGAGAGGGAAGCTTTGGGATGAGTTGCTTCCCCCACCCTCGAATAACTCACAGCTAAAGACCTCCTTCTCAACGCGGCACCCATATACACACATAGATATAGATCATATGACAAAGGAAGACACATGGAAGGACTCAAACCTTCACTCTCTCCTAGAGTTATGGCTGCCACTGGGATCCAACACTTCTGTGTATGGCAGATGTCATATTCCCTGGTGGTCACTGTGGTTGCTCCTGCCAGTCGTTATGTCACTTCTGTGTCTGAGCTATTATACTGTATGCTACAGTGCTCTCATTTATTTAGGGTGGTATAGGTTATAGAGGCAAGATGGAAGTGCCCAGTATGAAATTAACTGCATCCCTGAAACAGAATGAAGCAAAGTTTTTGTTTATTGACTATGCTCTAGTGAGTTTGTTATAAGCTGAATTATTTTTATTTGGCAGCAGTTTCTGCAAACATGGCAAATAAAAGGGTTGCTTTAAGGAAGTTAATATCACATACAGTATATCACCACAATACACTAGTATAAGCAAAAACAGATATGAGATATGACATTTATTGCTGATTTACGTGATTTAAAATGTTATTGAACATTTTCTATTCCTATAGGAAATAAAAAGCCACGATTGGCAGCACTGAGATATTTAACTACTCTTTTTCAGGTTAAGACATTTTTGGATGACATCCTAGATAAACTTCCTGAGGGGTACAATATGCCTGATATAATCTCAAAGACGACAGAGCGCTCTCCATATATCCTTGTCTGCTTCCAGGAATGTGAAAGGATGAACCTACTACTTCATGAGATCAGACGTTCTCTAAAGGAACTTGATCTTGGTCTTAAGGTAATCATCAGTCTTTAAATCGTTGAGATTAGTAAACCTGTCACAACTAAAAAAAATATTTCAAGAAACCTCTACCCAAGCCTAGACACCTTTTGGTGCCTATACTTTACCGCTGCTCACCCACTGCTCAGTCTTCTATATTAGCCCTCTGCTTTTCAAGTCACCAGTACGTATCGACAGTGACAGTGAATAGCAGTGCTGGGACCTAGTGATTATTCACTCAAGCCACATGCACTACTGTGTGTGTGTGAAAGGTAGGGACATGTCAAATGCTTACTTATAGCTGGAGGTACCAGGTTCTTTAGAATGTAGTGGTGATTTATAGAGACCAGAAGGTGTCTAGGCAGATAATAGAAACTTTTTTTGAACAAATATATTTATATATAACTATATACAGTATATATATAATAGGGATGCACCGATATATCGGCCGCTGAAACATATAGGCCGAAAATAGCACTTTTGGCAAAATGCCAAAAGTGCCATTTTCTGTCCAAAATAGCGGTGCATCCGTTCTTTCTCTCCTGCCCGTTGGGCGCTGCTCTATGTCTCAGCGGGGGAGGAGAGAAACTGTCATAGGCGGTCGAGCGCTGTGGAAGGAGAACGCTGTGAGCGGCCGGCGTCTCTCCTCCTGTCACAGATCGGGAGAGCGGTGTGGGCGGAGACAGCTTGCAGTGCTGTCACAGGAAGGAGAGTGAGTACAAACACTCAGAGATCAGTGATCACTGAGTGTTTGTGAATAATTGAGGACAGAGTATGGTTACTATATCCTCAATTATGAATGAATAGGAAGTGATCTACATCACCTCCTGTTCATTTATGATTGTGGATATAGTAAACATACTCTGACCTCAAGTTATGAATGAACAGGAACACTCAGTATAGGGGAATACAGAAAAAGAGATAGAGGACTTTGTGTTCTCAATCTCTTTTTCTATTTTAAAAGGGAAATATCAGGGGTCAGTTTAGATCCCCAATATTTCCCCTTAGCCCCTAAAAGTAAAGTAAAAAATAAAAATATTTTAGAAAAATAAATAAATAAAACTAAAATATGATTTTTAAAAAAAGTTTATAAAAAATAGAAACAAAATAATTGAAAAAAAATTGAAAAAGTTAGAAAAAAAAAACATTTTTGGTTTTGGCCTGGCATTTTTTTCATTTCGGTTTTGAAATTTTCATTTCGGTGCACCTCTAATATACAGTATATATATCAAATAAAGACAAAGATCAGGGTACTCACAGGTATTTGAAAGAAATAGTTCAAGGCTTTATTTTACAACGTTTTTGTGGGTTACGGTCCACCTTTATCAAAGCCTTGCTGAGACCCACTGAAACGTCAGCGAAGAAAGACTTGAATTATTTATTAGTTCTCATTGTAAATAAAAAATGGGGTCCCTTTCATTTACTTAAAGGGCAACTACATGTTTATGAAAATGTGACATTCCACTTACCCACATTCAGAGCCAGATGATCCAACAGGCAATCTAATATGGAACCTAGGGCCCAGAGGATGTTTAGGGGGCTCAGCTAAATCTCAATAGGCCAGAAGTGACTCCATTCACACAGAGGTACAAGTGTGTACTCTGCTTTAGGACAGGCTGTAGCCTGGGCCAGTGGAGGTTCATGTGGTTACTCCAGTGTCCCCATCACCTCTGGTAACATGGGTGAGTCCTTATAATGGATCCAGCATAGTCAATCTAGAACATGCCATTCCATGAGGTTAGGCCTTGGCGTTCTAGCCCTCAAGCCTGGGCATCAGCCCAGCACCTGAGCACCAACCTCCCAATAGGGGAGTGGCAGGAACAAGAGAACCCCAGTTCTGAATATGTTCATGGGTTTTGCTATAGCCAATCCCTCCTACTATGATGTTTACTCCAACGATTGGCTAACACAGAACCACTCTCAGAATGATACCACTCCAGCACAGTACAAAGCCTGGTGGATGAAGCACATAGGTGACTCGTGAGCACACCCTACTGGCAGAAAACAATATCTACATCAAAACCCGAATAACACTGCTCTATTACAGGGGGTGTTGGGGGTAGACCCCTACATCAGTAAACAGTAACTGTAGTTGTATAGCAAAAGCAGTAAACCCCACTTCCTGGCAGGTACAATGTGCAGACCAGTTCATCTTCTTACTGCCCAGCCTACACAGTAATAGTACCGTGTTTATGTGTTCCAGCATCCTCTGGAATCATTGTGCGTGTGCCAGGCCCAGCCATAAAGAACAAAGTATATCCATTGCCTTGTTTGGCTCATGTGCCCATAATGGCCAGTTTTCTATATGATTAGCTCAGCAAATTCACAGGAAACTACAATTTCCAAGGTTGGCAGAACAGTGGCATAGTGGTTAGCACTCCGGCCTTGCTGCATTAGGGTCCTTGGTTTGTACCCCTACCAGGACACTACCTCCATGTAGTTTGATTTTTATTTCCCTGTGCTTGCCTGGGTTTCCTCTGACACAACAAAGACATGCTGGTAAGTTAATTGGGTCTAGTCTAAATTGGCCATAGTATGTGCATGCATGTGAAATGGGGACCTTAGACTGTAAGCCCCTTAAGGGCAAGGACAGATGTGAATATACAATATGTGAAACAATGGGAAAATTGACTGCGCTACATAAATACCTGTAAAAAATAAAATGGATACTGGAGAAGACACTTGGCAGGCCGGGTAGTGAGAGGTGGATTTGTCTACATCAGAGGCCTGTACTTATATTTACAGATTTGATGAGGAGAGTGGGTAGAGCACCATTTTCTGTTACAAAAAAGGTCCTTTACGTGGCATTTAAACAAGAAAAACCAGCAAATGTAGCAAATATACATTATAAGCAAACATGCAATACAGATCATATTGTCTTAAAACAAGTTTTTGTTTTACACTTTAACCTATTTGTGTTTCTGTTTTCTAAAACTAGAACAATTGGCCCAATTTCAAGATTATTTCAGAGAAAGCAGGACCGATTTGTTCATCAATAGAAATGCCATTTTACTGATAATGTTCTACTGTGAAGTCTTTCTAGCCTGAGGAATAATTATGCAGAAAAAACACTTTTGATTTATGCACTCCTCCCGAGCATACAAGACACTTTATCTGAAATACTCTAGGTGTTGTTACTGCTTAATATTCCTTTTAGTAAATGAGTTATGTGTCTGCTGAAAGCTGAGGGCTGTGCATTGTTCATGCGTCAACTTTCGGCACCCTGTGTATTTCTGGGAAAAAGAGAGAACGCTCTTTACCATTTATCATGTCATCGTATCACAGTTGCTATCTGAAAAGCAAATAGCTCACTGATGTTTTCTTTTGTTAGGGCGAGCTGGCAATCTCCTCCGAAATGGAGCAACTACAGTCAGCTCTGTTTTTCGATACTGTTCCTGAAACATGGACAAAGCTGGCTTACCCATCAACCTACAATCTGGCTCAGTGGTAAGTTGGAGATAACAGGGCCAATGGGCCAAAACAATGTAATAAAGCTGTAAGTTGTACACTAAAAGACGACTCTGATGCAAACATTACCAGTAAACGTACATAATATCAAGTTATGTGCATTTTCTTTCTCTCAGTCAGTAAACTGTAGCAAAACTTGCAATCACTGTGGCAGGTACCCTAAAAGCAGTATAAGTTACCTCTAATAAAATGACTACGTTGTTATTTAGTACAGACTGAAATCTTTATGAAACTTTACTTTTAATTTCAAACTGAACTTTTAATTAACTTAAAGTGACACTAAACATAGGAGTTCAATTTTAAAAATGCATTCAAGTGCCATAACTATTAACCTGGTCCCTGGTCCCATGGTCCCTGTGTGTGTTGTAAAGTATCCACTGCTTCAAGCTTGCTCCCGTGATGGACTACAATCTCATGTTAAGTTTACTAATTTGTATTGAAATTATAGTCTTATAACAGGAGTGAGTTTGGAGCGGTAACTACTTTATAACACACACAGGGACCATGGAGAACAAAAGTAGCCACCCACCAGAAGGAAAGACAGTGTCCGCACCAATTCAGAGATGATTTGAGGATCTACAGCTGAGTGATACACAAATAAGATACATTTTTGTTAATAGTTATGGCACTTGCACATGATAAGTGTAATATCACTCTAAGCATATGTAAGCTAAATAAAAAAAACTTTTACAATGATTTTTAACTTAAAGTTTATTTCCACTTTCGCAGCCAATTTGGGATAACACCTATTTTATTTTTAATACATATTCCTATTCACAAAGCATAAGCTAAAACAAAAAGTTGCAGTTTAAATTGCTTTTACTTCTGTTAGCATTTTAAGGGTTACATTTTCTGATTTAACAAAACATCTGAAAGGTAAGAGTTATTTTTCAGTATGCTGTGTGAACAGGAACACATAACGAACATATAGAGGGGTTTTCTAAAATTTGACTGCAAAAGTTTCAAAGCCCTGCATGTTGCCTTCCTGTACAGAAGGTTCTTCCCAGGTAGAAGAAGGGGCTGGGCTTGAGGCACAGACATAGGGGTCTATTCACAAAGCTGCCGAGGGCAGCTGAGTGAATGACCGATCAGAAGTGAAGTGAGCCGAACACTGTTCGGCTATTCACTTCAGGCTGGTACGGCTATGAGATTAAGCATCCCTGGCATCCCTTTAGCTGTGTTTCAAAGACATGGCTGGCCTAGGCCTGAGTTGATGAGCTGTTAGGTTAAGTATTCTCAGCAACCCTTAGCTGTGCAGGTTTTGTGCAGGTTCTCTTGTGGCTGTATTCCTGGACAGGATCAGGCACTTACACATGGAGCCAGAGAGATCCCGCAAGGCAACAGAGCCACCCCATAGGAAGAGATGTAGTGGGCAATGTTTTCAAGTAGCATGGAGCCACCTTAGAAGAAATTGGCTGAACATTTGGCTAAGCAAGTGAGTATGGCTAACAAATTATAAAGAATGTTTTATAGGGTTTAATAATACTTTAAGAAAAACATCTTAGGAACTCACAAGTAAATGCAAAGTAAACACAGTACATCTGTACATCATGTGTAACACATGAGATCTAAAATGAAGGGACACAAATTACAATTTTATGCAGCTATACCATTACGTTATTATTTAGGGAAGCGGGAAAATAATACAAAATAAAGAAATAAACTAAGTGAATAATAATAAGCATGGACTTGTGTGTTCCCCTTTTCTATAAACCAATAGGTTTTTGCTTTACATATTTGTTATTAAAAGAGGCCCTGTCATAGGGGGAAAGGGGGGCTGATGTAAGTATAAAGTGGTCCTTGCACCTACTTAAAGCAGCCCACTCAAATCTACCAGTCACAGCTAATTGCCATCTTAACAAGTATAACTCTGACACCTCTGGGTCGTGTCAGAGCTCACTGCTAAGTCCCTCCATTCCTAATGGCCCATCCCTATAATAGGCAACCTCACTGGCCAACAGGAATGCTGATTGTGCACTGACAGGAGAGTTAGGGAGGCTACATACAGCAGTTTGCCCCCTTTCCCTCCACTCCCAAACCCCTAGTGACAAATGCATTTATTTTAGTGTTTTGTCTGGCACCACACTGATCGATGTAACTGATAACGTTGACTGAACATTACAAACCAAGAGTTATTACTGACCCATCTTTTCCAGCCTGCTATTGTACCCCACAGACGATGTATATTATGTTTAGTACACATTATGTTTTGATAAGCTAACTGACCACAGTGCATATTTTAGGGTGTGGGAAAGTTCATTGTGCTTTGCATGCTCTAAATTACCTTCATATTTGCATTACATATAAATTGGCCCTATGTCAAAGGTATACATGCCGTTTTTTGGGACTCCTCAGAAGGATTGTCTCAAGGGTAATTCAGCTAAGGTGCCTGAAGTACAATTAAACCTTCAGGGTTTTTGCATATATCTACTGCTAGCAAGCAATAGATATTTGCAAAAACAATTTTAAAAAAAGTTACCCAAAAAGTTAAAACTTACCTGTGTCTCCGCCGCGCGCTCTCGTCTCAAGTTCTGAAGATTCTCATGCGGCCGTGAAGAATCATGGGGCGGGCGCATGCACAGTAGAGATCTTTGGAGAAGGGTAAGTCAATGCTGGCAGCCCGGCAGCGTGCACACACACAGACTCTGTGGCACACAGAAGACACAGCATTCAGCGCTGGATCAGTGGCCAGCACCAGCGCTGGAGGGACTTCTGAAAACTACTGGAAAGAAGAAGATGATTGAATCGAAAGGCATAATTTAAGGTAAGTCCTTACACCACCATGGGGGGGGGGGATTTACTTTAATGTCATTTTAAGCTCACAAAGCTAGCAAGGCCCTAATCACTATACATTCTCATCTGTCACTGCACTTTGACTAGGGACTTGAATGAAAGCAATGATTGTCATAAATAGGTCAATACCATACTGACGTTCACAAGTCTCACCTCCTCTGCAGTTTTAGCAATTCCTTTAAAAGCTGGGATTTCCTGTAATGAGGGCAGAAATGTTTTCAATCACAGGCTTTACCTGTTATCTTTTGGAATCAGAATCCTGTATAAACAGCAGCTAGAATTATCCTTCTTCTTAACTGTTAGAGTTACCACTTATAGTGCACTGAAGACGATATTTAGGCCACATTCCATAGTTGCTTTGATAGCATTAGTGCTAACATGATCATTTTGTCCTCAAGCATATTAGTTTCCCACTTAAGGTGACACATTGTGGTGGGGAGGTATTTCACAGCCTTTCTTGAACAGACCCTGTCACCAGACCATTAACTACAACTATAAGCTTCCCATAAAATGATGTGGGCATTTCATTTGTTTAATGCATGTTATTTACCTGTAAAAGCCTCCATTGTTTAGAAATCCAAAAGACTTGAGGCTGCTGCTGGCCATCACCATGTTGGATGTGACATCAGCAGCCCCGTCAGACTCAAGTGACTTTCTATAGTATCCCCCTTCACTCCTTCCCCAGCACAGAAAGTAATTAGACACTCCCAGAAGAGGAGAGGACTATGACTTGCAAGAACAAAGGGGCTGTGCTAGGGAATTTACTCTTTGGAAGTAGTCAGATTTGCAAGCAAGATCAGAGGCACATTGTAGTTCAATCAAAAATTGTTTTTGGAAAGGAAACATGCTACAAAAAAAATCATTTTTCTGTGCTTTTACCTGCAATTGCTTATGTTAATGACAGGGTTTCTTTAAAGGAGAACTATGAGGCGAGTGAAAATCACTCACCTCATAGTTCCAGCCGACCTGTGACAATGAAACTGTCACAGGTCGGCTCAATAGATCGGAAGTGAGCAAACACATACCGTCGCTCGCTCACTTCTCGATCTTCTCCCTTGAGACTGTGACTCATGGCTCCCTGCAGGGATTCCCCCTCCCCTGTCCGATCCTCCAGCGCTGACTGGCGGAACGGACGGGGGAGGGGCGGGTACAGCTGGCTCTGCCTCTAGATAGGCAGAGCCAGCTGTCACGCACGCAGCTGGGTGGATCTAGACAGTAATGTCGGGATCCGTCCCGGCTGCGGCGTCTCAGTATACCGCGAGCTGTAGCTCACGTTATACTGAGCTTTGGGTGACACTAATTTGTGTCCTCCCGTTACCCTTAGGAGAACTCAGGGGAAAAGCCCTGACCCCATAGTTCTCCTTTAATTCTAATAAAAGATTTAATAATTGGGTACTGCTCTTCATTGTTCTCCTTACTGTCTCCTATTTTTTTTCTGAACCCTGTAGGATAATTTATTGGGGTGTTCCCACATCCAGCCACCTGTACAACTCAATGACAGGACATGGCTGCACGTGGCTACACGCCAACCCGGACATGCACATCATCCGTCTGCATGCCCTTGGATGCAGACAGTCTGCGACCAAAGCCCTGTTTCTGTACCTATAGAGGTGCATCCTGTCATGACTGAACAAGTCCAGGTGAATGAGACCTTAGTTAGACTTGGCTATTTACTGCCTGCTAACATATTGGCACTGCAAACATCTAGTATGCAATCACTGACCTTCTTTCTCTGCTAACCATCTCCTGCATGTGAAAGAGAAGTAAATGGCTAGGGAGTTACTCACAGACAGCTGACCCAACAATCTGCTGTCTTAGTTTTACAACAGAAATACCCCCATATATAATAGGGACCAGTGAAAACATTCCTGCATAAAAGCCTACAGCAATACTCCATAAAAGCATAAAATTCAATATTTGAGCATCAGCTTATATATTATGCATTTTTCCCTACTGAATGCATCATTTCCTCTATAGTTTTCTATATTAATGAAGGCATGACTTACTCACAGACTTGTTACTTAAAGCCATGGAATAGTGTAACAGCTATGATTTCTGTCTTAATAAATTATATCTTCCAGTTGTAATACAAAAAAAATATATCTTCTGATTTGCAGTCTGAATGGCATAAAATGGTTTAGAGTAAATTTCAGTTCCGTAGCCCTAACCCATTAGGGTGGTGTATG